TAGGTTGGAATGTGTAACCTTTCATGTAAGGAAGGTTGCATTTCTAGAGCACTTGTACAGAATGGCTCACAGTCTATTACATCAGTAAGAACCCACAGTATATTAAAATTCTTATAAATTGATCATTGATGAATTAGCTTTTGTAATTTGTAAAAATGATCAAAAAATCAAATTAAGATTCATAAAATAAAAACAAAAAAACTTACCCAGATCATAATTGTCCATGCTCTTTTTTGTCTTCTGACTTTTTTGACTTTTTGTATTGAAAAAATACTTTACATTAAATACATCTATACAGGCCTTGAGTTCTTAACCAAGTTATTATCTGGTTCTTAATTACCTGAGTCTTAATTTTGTTGTTCTATTACCTGTCTTAATTGTATTTTAATTTTGTTATCTTGTTACTTGTCTTTAATTACTTATTTTACTTGTCTTTAATTACTTAATTTTGTTATCTTGTTACCTTACTTACTTACCTTTTCTTACTTGTAACCTGTCTTAATTATGTTGTATCGATGATCTTTGCCCATGCGATGCAAAAGCAGATTTTGCTTGGTTTGTAATGGAATATTGTAATAAGTATCAAGTTTACTTAATAGGTTATACTGAAATTAAGCTAGCTTTAAAATTGAAAGATCTTTATCTTTTGATAAGAATAGAATAAAAAACTATGAAATAGATATATAAAATGAATTTGCAAGACAAAATAGACAGAAAAAGGTTTGAGAAAAATTTACAAGGGTTTGGTACGGCAATGTGCCATAGCACACCATTGACTAGATTAGAATAGATGAATTGATTATAGATGTCTCTATATTCTATGTATTTAATTATTTCACTATAAATAGATGGCTCCCCATTGATTGGTATAAACATTCATTGTGAGCTTGTAATGGGAAAGCCGCTATTCACCTTTCCACAAAGTCAGCTCATGAATATTATAATGAGCCGCTTAAAAATCTGTGACGTCAATGAGAGAAACTTTTTCCCGCGAAAAACAAATGCAATTGAGTTTACTTGTAAATCCTCGGTTGATTGCTGTAACTTTTACCTCTTCAAATGTGCAAATTATCAGTTAATTATTGACATTTATTTACGCCTTCTAAGCGATTTAAATATGAAATTTCTGTTCATAATGAGTAAATAAATTGAAGAGAATTACTCCTGGTCAGTTTTCAATCATAATGGGAACTGCATGTGAACAGGTAAAATTATGATAATCATTGGTTCCCCAACATTATAACATGTCTCTCATGCATAAAAATATATAGATAGACAATCTATTTTAAGTTAATCTTCAGTGTCATTTGATGAATGACCTGTTCAAATTAAAAACATTTGCTCTTATCCATTTAATCATTGACTTCACTACTCCCATAATTCAATCAACTAGACACGATTACTTCCTCTTTATTTCTGCAAGTCATATAAGATTGTATCTTGAAAATATTATACATGAAAACATTGATATATTCCAATGTATATTTCCCGCTGCGTATCTCCCGATCCAAATATTCCCGGGAAAATGATTTTTATTCAGTGTAGAAACAGTCAATTTGTTAGAATATCTTGCTAAAGCAAAACTGTCAAAATAGATCCAGCAGACTGTACAATTTTTCTTAACCAAAATGATGATAGATTTCTCGAAAATAATGAGAACGCTTAGAAAACAAATCTGAATATGCAGGGTGTCCTGAAAACTTCACTTGTGAAACCTCACTTGTCATAGGATAAATTAGTTATGTGATGATTGGTTTTGAATAATGATCACTGGAAAGATTTCAAAGAAAGAGCGTGTATCATATAATATTTAGTGATGATATGTTGACATTGCTGATCGTTATTGACATCGCAAATGGTGAATTAATACCAAAAGGTAACGATATCGTATATGTACTATGAACAAATTTCATTTGGTAAATAATAAAGTTATGGTTAAGTCTAGCTTCTTGGATATAAAATTTGGCTTCGAAGTTATCTTTTTAATAGCCAATGGACGTTCTCCAAGTTTGGAGGATAAAATGAAGGTTATTTAATTAGGCCCAGTTGCGTTTAGCGAGAAACCCGTTGTATGTTTTACTGAAATGGCAACTGGAAAAAGTTCCAATTAAAAGAAAGTTATTTAGTCGTGGACTTCCATGATCTTGAAAGCCCATGGTTTTAGTTACCATGCATAACATATTCATGCTTTTGAAAATATTTTGTTAATGTGTAATATCAAGATGGGATCGATCCTCAATAACAAAATGTCAAACAAATCGTGTTTCAATTCGATTGGTTTCGTTTGCGCGAATGTCACTCATGGTGAATTTCTGATGGAATCTCACTACATATAACCATTTAACAGGATATTGTATGACCACTATCAGATAATTTAACCGAGTTGTTTGTAACTTCACAATTTACATTTTTTGTTTACAATCGCACGAGATATGTGAGCCCGGGTATGTGAATCTGATCTGAGAAGTCTTAATAAACAATAGTTCTGTCAAAATATGATTAATTTAAATAACATAAGGTTCGGAATGAAAGTGCCCCATCCATATTTCATATCTGATTAAAAATAATTAGTGCATTTGGCAAATAGAATCCTTTTTATTATTGTAGTTTATTCAAAATATTCCTATGCTGGCTGTACTAATTCTTCAAAACTTTCAGTCATTGACATCATTGATTTGACTCATTTGCATACAACCAATCAGAGCGCTGGAAATTATCGATTTTCTTTACTTTGTGGAAAGGTGAATAATTTTCATTTTTGATCTGACTGCTTAGAATTTGTTTTTGTTTCTATTAAATCAATCATTTATGAACCTATATATGTTTATGTTTCAGTTTATAAGGGAGTTATTTCGTCTTTCAATCAAGTGACTACTTGTTTTGATGCTCGGATATCCAACTTGTTTTAGGTCAAATTCTGAATGTTGCCATTTGTTTGTTAGAAAAATAGTATTTTCTCTCTTATAACATAATAAGAATTGATTGCACATCCCTCTTTTTATACATTATTATGCCACCGAATGAAGTTCTAGGGGAATATAGAGAAGCCGTCCATCCGTCTGTTCGTCTGTCCGTCCGTTCGTTCGTCTGTGTGTCCGGGGGATAACTTCAATACCGATTGACGGATTTGGTTCAAATTTTATAGGCTTATGCCTTATGAGTGTAGGACCTCTGCCACTCAATTTCAAAATGGCCACCATTTTTCGTAAAAAATGTAATACAAGTTGACGGATTTGGTTCAAATTTTTTATGCTGATGCCTAGGGACAAAGGAGTTTCGCACCAAAAGAGATTTTCAAGATGGCCTCTGAATTTCAAAATGGTGGCCATTTTTCGTAAAAATATGTAATCTTTGATAACTCAAATACCAGTGAACGGATTTGGTTCAAATTTTATATGATGATGCTTAGGGACACATTTGCTATGTTTGACAAAAATTTTTCAAGATGGCTGCTTAATTTCAAAATGGCGGCAATTTTTCGTAAAAACGTAATCTTTGATAACTCAAATACCAGTGAACAGATTTGGTTGAAATTTTATATGCTTATGCCTAGGGACACAGTTGCTCTGTTCAAGAAATAATTTTCAAGATGGCAGCTGAATTTCAAGATGGCGGCCAATTTTCGTAAAAAACGTAATCTTTGATAACTCATATACCAGTGACCGGATTTAGTTCAAATTTTATATGATGATGCCTAGTTAACTTTAGTATAAACTTACTTTGTGCCAAATTTCATGCTTCTATCACAAAGTGCACAAACATTTCAACATTTACACTAGCTATAATAAGCATAATATGTTTTTTTCGGTGGGATTTGCTACTCTGTGGAGTTGCTGTTTTTCTAGTTTCTGTTAGTGTTAGCCTATTTTGTATGTACAAAATTTCAAAGGGCATAGAATACAACATACAGCACTTTTTCAGTCCATTTTTTCCTCCCATTGACTCCCATGTAAAAATAACCTTGAAATGTGAACACCTCTCAATGTTAAAAATATATTTGAAAAATTCACCTGTCAATATAACACTTCATAAAATATCACATGTTTTATACAAAATTGCTTGAATCATTTTTATTTGTTCAGCTAGATCAGAATGTCACATAAAACATCAAAGATTTGTAAAGTTGCGAGAAAATTCTATCTGCACTCTGACCAGTTAAAAAACTTGTATGTAATTATATAACTAGTTAATGAACTATGTTTTCATGCACATCAGATTGCACTTGTAGATTCATGGATGTTCAGTTTACCATAAATGATGTCCAGTTTTTGAAAAAAAAATAGAATGAGGTCAATCTAAAATTTCATTTGAATCAGATAATAGTGAAAAATTCAAAGTTATTGTATGCAACATGGTTTTGTTTTACTGGGAATGTGTTTACATTTTTTCCAAAATTATATATGAAACCTGTGAGTACAAAAACCTTGAAATGATTTTCTAAACTTCATAATCCAAAGGCTTTTAGCCTGTCCCACTGGTCTTTAAATGAGACAGGATTTACTTTATAATTCTATTTATGAGGTTTTACTGTATACCCTAACCCTGTATAGTTCTAGTTCTAGTCCACCTCTGGTGTTGACATATTAATGTTATAGTTTCCAACTTGTATACAATGTTCGGTGATAGGAGTGTAGTAGTTGGTGTTTTGCATCTCTAACAAATGGCAGTTAGTGACATTTTGCATGTTAATGCCTTGTCTTGTTATATTACAAAGGCTGTCATATTCATGTCATGTGACATTTTGCATGTTAATGCCTTGTCTTGTTATATTGCAAAGGCTGTCATATTCATGTCATGTGACATTTTGCATGTTAATGCCTTATCTTGTTATATTGCAAAGGCTGTCATATTCATGTCATGTGACATTTTGCATGTTAATGCCTTGTCTTGTTATATTGCAAAGGCTGTCATATTCATGTCATGTGACATTTTGCATGTTAATGCCTTGTCTTGTTATATTGCAAAGTCTTTTATATTAATGTCATGTTTTATGATTGCAGATTGAGGTGGAGAAAAACATCAGCTTGCTACGAGAGAAGGATGAAGAGATCATGGATGTGTTAGCAAGAATGGAGAACCGTGAAGCTATAGATATTGATGAAGCAGTAGTGGCTCCTGCACCTTTATATAAACAGTGAGTGAAATGAGAATACCTTAATAGAGAATTCCTTAATAGAGAATACCTTAATATACTAACACTTTGGTAACAAATGGGTGAATATTTCATGTTCTTAACAATTCTCAACTTATTGCTCAATACTGTTCTGACATCATTAAAATGTTAATAATTTTGATATTGAAGAAGCTTTAGTCTTACCAATTAAAAAAAATAAAACTATATCTGGCAGGATACCTGTTATATAAAACAGATTAAACATTTTATTGTTCAATCTCTCTGAAAATAAAATAATCCAGTTCAGTACATACAATTATTTTAATACATCCCAGTCCCACACCTCCATTTTAGCGAAATAAAAATAAAATTTTGCCTGGAAATAAATTTTTACATGGAATATGTTATGTTTGGTTCCTTTAATCTAAAATTTGCTTTCATGATATCATCCTTTTCTGATTATGTCTCAAATTTATGTTATCTTGTATTGCAGATTACTGAACTCATTTGCAGAGGAACAGGCCATTGAAGACACCATATATTACTTAGGAACAGCCCTAAACAGGGGATCTATAGATCTAGATGTATTCTTGAAGGTAACAATCATATATACTAAAACAACTTTATTCATTTCTTCAGAGAATTTTTTTATTAGATCAAGGCTTTCGACTCTATCCTCAAGTCTTTTTCAAGATTTTTCATTTTTTTTTCATATATCTTTCAAACATATAGTATAGGGATCAAAAAAGAAAGGGAAGGTTTAATGCCTACTTACTACAGTGGTAAAGGATGAAGAACATGTACACAACTATTTACACATAATTTCTGTTTTATTAGGTATCATCTACACATACATCAAAACCAGTGTCTATGTGGAACACCTTTGGTACCTCTAAAAAGTGTTCTACTTGGGAGGTGTTCCACTTATAGAGGTTCATTTAACATTAAGTCAGTTGGTCTTGAGACTCTGAAAAGTGTTCCATTTTCATAGGTGTTCCACTTTTAGAGGTTTTCTACTTTACATGTTTCACTGTATAACTCTCCTAGCACTATGAATATAATTGAATACCACACACGGCCAGCTTAGTTTATAAAATATCACAAATTTAAGTTCAAAAATGACCATTGTTTCCACACTATAATAACCACACCGACTGTTTTCTCCATGCTTAAACAACATAGTGTGATATCATTATTAAAATTATTTTTTGTATACTTTTTCAGAAAGTGCGAGAGCTATCAAGACAACAATTTATGCTACGAGCGTTGATACGGAAATGTCGATCTAAAGCAGGACTTCCAGAGATATGAACTCACTCGTCTTGAGTACCCTAGTTATGAACTATACCTTATTTTAACGTCACATCTCAGTACTGCATACTACACAAACTAGTATCCAAGACAGCTTTTGGAGATGTCCTTTCAAGTGATCTGAAAGTATTGACATTTTGCAGTTTTTGTGAAATAGTCATGAGCATGAAGTTATGATATCACGAAAGGATTACTATAGTGATAACAGATGCAGGGCCCTTGCAAGGGGGTTTCAGGGGGTGCGAGCGAACCCCCTTGACCTAAATTTATTTTGAAATCATGTATTTTTTCACCATTCTGAGCACTTTTCAAGGATTTTAGGTCAAATGTGAACCCCCCCTAGAATTTAAAAATGCATCAATTGGCCATGACTAGAGAATGGATTTAAGCAGCAATGACTACCTAAGAAGTCACCATGGAAAGCCTCTCTTCCCAACATCTCTCTCATTAAACAACCAATTAAAAATATCAATGATTTTTCTCACAAATATATTAAACAAAGACTCTGATTCCCTATTGTGAAATCCAACAAGGATGACATTGCATTATCTCACACTAAATGTTATTTCTATTATGAACTTTTTTGCTCTCCCATTAAGAGGCTACATTTAGTTTCACAGAAGATAACGCATTGTTATTTGGCCAAACCTCTGGAGGTTCAACAATAGATATCGGAAAAATTTAGATATGACCACAAACATATTGTATTAATGATTATATGATATTGATAGACCCTGTTTCTGCCTGGTTCAATTTCACTGAAGACATTTCAATTCAATTCAATTCACTTTATTTCAAATGTTTCGGATACAGAATTTCACATTGGCATAAAAAGACACCCAGTGGTGTGTATAAGTTCCATGTTTAACATACAATATAGCATTTATTAAATTAACATTTTAGAGTCCCATAATCATGAAATCTATCTAATATGAGAGACCGAGGACTGTCCAATCTAGTATTTATGTAAATGACTTGTCTGCATGATTACCAACTTTACATGCTGACGCAAGCTAGTTCTCTTATGTATACTGTAATTTAATTACACCTTGTGGGGTCATGCATATTAACATAGGCTAAGGGCATTCTGATACTCATAGCATCTTTCTGTTTCACCTGAAACATCTCAGGGCTGAGAAGAAATGAGATGTCATGGTGTATCATGATGGGCTAAGGGCGATGGAAATCATTTTTAAATACCGGTTAAATAAAGATGCCATGGTAATCGATCTGTGTTTATCTATGTTTCTCTTTAGAAAAAGATAATACCGGATTCTGTTGGTGCTGCCATCTTTATATCGGCCCAGAACCTATGCTTATTTACTGAATAAATTGAACTGGAGAGGAATTTGCAAGGAAAAGAATATAAAGAGGAGATCATAGTAGCATCCTCGGAATCAAGGGCTTAAGATAATAGACCAAGTAGCAAGTGAAAGGTTCATGTATGAGTTCAAGAGAAACAGCTCGCTTTCTCGATGCTGTTCGAGAATTGAATGAGCCCCAACTACAATTTAAATTAATGGTGTAAAGACTACAAGACATGCTTATGATTATGAACATATTAATGTGAATTTTTGTTGTATAACTTGGGTTTAATTCATCATAAGTCAGGATTTTACTAATTTTTCAGTTGGAGAAATCAAAGCTTGGTAAAAGAAATACAGCAGTTTGAAAAAAATCACTTTTTCTCTTTAGTATTTCGCTGTTTTCACTGAACATGATAAATTTCTGTGAATTTTTTGAGAAATAGCAAGAAATAGGCATGATGTAGGAAATAGGCGTAACCTATTGACATTTTAAGTAGGATTATTTAAGCCTGTACATAGCATTATTGTGCAATATTATATATAGTCACATGTATGTATATAATGTAAAGCATTGTTAATAAATAACAAGAAGATTTTTATGCTACAAAGAATTATTTTCTGTTTTAAACCTGTTGTTAACTTGTACAGTGAATCTTGAAATACAGTGAAGTTGAAATCTTAAACCTCTGTACCTCTGTACCAATGCCTGAGTCACATTTACTTTGATTCATCGGCTGGTGCCTGGGAGATTGAATATTTTGTTCAAAATTGTATTCAGTTCTGAACAAAATAGTCAATCGGTCAGGCACCAGCCAATGAATCGGAGCAAATGGTCAAATTTCCTTTTAGATTGCTTAGCTCTAAGAGGTGCTCAAATCTGCGAAAATGCAGTTTCAAATAAAGGAAAGATGAAGTGAAAATATGAGCAAAAATTTAGACTCTCATCTGGAAAATTTTGCATTTCACTCCAATTTACTTCTGAATACCTATGTGCCAAATACCCGTTTTTTGAGCATTTTATCCTCTCGAGATTGAAAGTCTAAAATCTACAATAAATATAGCAATTCTATTTCGCAAAGCTAGTCTGTTGAGTCTTTTTGTGTTAATAAAGTTTATTTTGGAATTGATAGATCTTTTAAAAGCAAACCTTGTTCAACATGGAGGAACAGTCAGGAAATACCCTGCCACCTTAAAGTGTGTCTTAATTCACGGTTGTAAGCCACAATCTCAACCCATTGTTTTGAACTATTTCTGAGGTATCTTCAGTTCCAAGTAGGCCATTGTTTTGAACTATTTGTGAAGTTTCTTCGGTTCCAAGTAGGCTGTATGAGGACTGTAACACTGAACAGTAGTTACTACCATGTACTTCTCTAATGAATGAATGAAGTCCAAATAATAAAAAAGATAAAATGAAAAATAAAAATAAAAAAATTATGAAGTCCAAATATTGACATTTCGTTAACTTAGACATTAATTTTATTAGCCAGCGCATCTCCGGTATTCGTTAACGCTTTATTAATATAAGCCCAACATACAGCAAAGGTGAAAAACTTCACTTGTTCCATCGAGTTCATTTGAATCCCACCGTGCCCCACGATGTCCCATGGAAACTTTGTCCCATGGAATCCCACTATCCCCATTAAGTCCCAGGGAAATGACGTTATTAAATTCAAAAGGTTTTACTGCCCTATGGAAAATATTAACGTTGTTATTCTCGATTGGGCTTCTCCCCACAATGCCCCATCCCATGCCACTCGATGGGGTTCCAAGCGGCAAAGACCTACGAAGTCCCATAAAATCTCAAGAATCCCATAAGTCTTCTAGAGTCTCACAGAATACAATAAAGTCCAATGGAGTTTCATGGGGTAAACCCCGAGAGGGCATATCGAAGGGGCAATGAAATACTAGTATAGAAAGAACATGTAATATTTTTTAAGGAAAAATATGACATATTTCACGATATTTTTCCAATTTATACAATAGTTCTCTCTTTAAACCAATACCCTGCGTGCAGAGTCTAGTTAAACTACAAAAAAGAAGACGAACAGAAGAAGACGAAGCTCTCTTGAAGTCAAACGAATGCAAAGGGTATAAACCAAGGAAACGATCATGAAAATTGAAACAACTGTTTGCAGTCCCCGGAAAAGACCACGTCGAAACCCTGGGTGAATAATGAGAGGAAATTATCTAAGTTCGCAAAAAGTGTCCATCGAATATGAAAATCTCCAACATGGGGTACTTGGTCTGATGACCATGTACGCTTTTACAATTCTAAGCAATCCGATAACTAATAATCGTGTTATCAAAGAATACACAATTCATTTAAAGCAAAAAAGCAGCAATTTTTTTATTTAAGCGGCCATATTGGAATGTTTTCCCTTAGAGGTTATATGCCCATAATTATGGCATCACCTCATAAAATGTAAACCAAATCCGGTATTGGAGTTATCAAAGATCACATATACATTTACATTTTCTTTTCCAGCAGCGGCCCTATGCCCATGAGACATTTGGCTATAAAATCTGAATTGACACTTATAACAAGTTTTTGTGTTATATCAAAGACTAAATCGTTTTTCATTGCAACAGATGGCGGCCATTTTGAATTGCACAGCCATAGTTCTAAAAATGGCCATAAAAGATCGATAAAATGAAATAAATCAGATAAATGTATAATTTGAATTATTTGATGGACGAGGAATGCTTCTCTACATCCCCACAAACTTAGCTCAGTAGGCTACATCGTGGTAAGCCACGCCCTCTCCATCTCTGTCCTTAGTGGAGAGATGCTACAGAGAGAGAGAGAGAGAGAGAGAGAGAGAGAGAGAGAGAGAGAGAGAGAGAGAGATGCTATGAGTATCAGAATGAGTAGGCTAAGGGATTGAGTAATTCTCTGAAAATTGCAGATTTTGAAAACCAAATCAGCAAACAATTCCATAAACTGTTGCAAATTGAATTCATCACTTGCTCCAAAGATAAAAATAAATAACATAAAAAAAATCATAAAACTTGAACATAAAAATGTCATAGGGGATATTCGTTTTTGTGGTGTATTCAGAGCAGTATTCAGTATTATTAAAATTGAAAAAAACAGGTGATACAATTCTAATCGTGTAACGTTTTTTTACAATACGCATTCCATTTGCCATCTCGTAATTCAATTTATTTTTTGTTTTAACAATAATTTCCTTCAAGATTTAAGTTGAGATAATTCAAATTCATGAGACATTATATTAATTACAACAGATTTTCTGACGAATCGGTAAAAATATTTGAAAAGATCCTATCATTATATATTGTATTTTCGATAAATCTATTTAATCTCTAAGTTTAAATTTCCCGCGTTTCCAATTTATTTGCAATCTCCTATTAAGTGCGATTAGCATGTTGCGTAGACCTGCGTTGCGCCTGCGTTTGCGCGTAATACGACGCAAATATTGATTTGCGCTTGCGAAAAGTATTGATTCGCAAGCGCAACTAGGGGTGTAGCCAGCTTTCAGTCGGGGGGGGGGGGGGGGGGGTGCGATCGCCAAACAAAGTATAGGGTGTATCATGGACTGAACGAAAATGTGAAAATAATTTTGAAATTGGGATTGGGATAGATTGGCTTCTTGAGGTGAACCATCGAATAGTTATTTGAAAGATACACTATGGAAAAATAACCGCTAAACGAATCATGGATGTACAGGATGTACCAATTACGCATGGGCGTTAAATGTGCATGATACGGTACCCGGAAATGGTACAACCAGATGAGAGTGTCAAATCGAAATTGAGTTTTCATCATTCTACAAAGATTTTTAACATAGTTTCTTTTTACCTTTTATAGAGACTCTCGGAAAAATCACCTTTAAATTGTTGTTTTCCTGTATTTCACAATTTATTTCTTTTTAGATCTTTTCAATGACTATGATCAATGATGATACACTTGCCTCCAAAAGTCTGGCAACCTTAGCTCCCCCATTGAACTACGTGTTAAAGCCTCTTTATGTTTGAATTTTTATTTACATAACCTGCCGGGAAAATACTTATAAAATTGATGGAAATTTCCGATAGCTCCAAATTTTTTCCTCAATAATAATAGGTCGAAAATTGATGATTTTGTTAAATTTTTGAAAATCGTCATTTCCATGTAAACCATTGGGAAATGATGGTTATCTATTCAGTAAAAGATTCACCAAATAATATTTTTTATAGACAATTAAATTGTCTAACTTCTTTTGAACGCTAAGTGTTTTGAAAAATCATTTTTTGTGTTATTTCAATGGGAGAGTTTATTTGAAAAATAGTTTTGACTTCGAAGACCTATAACTTTTTTGAGCCTGGAGAATCGTAAAAATTGAAAATAAGCTTCATATGGGCTATGTATTACAAATCTTCCTCGATCCCAGTGTAACAGTGTATCATGCCTTGATGACATCTTTTATTTAAATGTAGAATTATTTCATTCTTTCTAGGTGTGTTGTGTGTGAAGGTCTTGATGACATGTCACTCTATGATGCAAAGATTCCCTTTGCTATGGGAGTATCTTGGGGGCATAGAAACAAATACTTTTGCAGGACTCGCAATTTATGACGCTTAAATTTACGTTATGATTTTTCCGAGTTTCACAGATTTTTTTCACGCTGTTTAAATAACTTATGTTTTTTCCATTTTCCCCGTTTTACAATTTTCCAGGCGAGGATTTAAAAGTTTAGAAAACCAGTAGTTCCAAGCAAATAGAAGTTCTGAAATCTCTTGGTTTTTGTGGTAATTTTTGAGAAACTAAAAAAGAACATGGTAGAAATAGCATCCTTGGCTCAAGTACTTTTAAAGTACATATAACCTTGTTAAACCCTCTCAATATCAAGTGTTGGTCAAATGTTTTTAATCTTTTAGTCAGCACAGACACGTTCAGGAAGTATAAAGGAGTGGTATCGATATGGAGAACTTTTTGAACACACGTTTCTCTTAAACCAGTCATAAAAAATCCAAAAATTTAACACATCGTCAATTTAATGGTCAACTTTTGAATGGTAACAACATAATTTGAAATATATATATATATACTTTCATCTATATTGTTTTAGAAAACACATCAAACACTTGTTTTGTTCTTGGTATCATGTTTCCAGAGTGAAATGAAACATCTTTCCGAACCTCATTGGAACAAAACGACATAAAAACAACATGTTTAGGTCTCTCAATATTGTAATTGTACAAAGGAAATTTTGGTTGATTTTAAAAAAGTATCTTGTTAATGAAATAAAAGGGTTATCTTGATTTTTATCTATTTTTGGGGGATTTTGTTCCTTTGTATAACTACAGTATAATATTGAAAGGTCTAAAAACATGTTGAATATGCTATTTTGTTCCAACAAGGTTCGGAAAGACATTTTATTTCATTCTCAAGAATTGGTAGAGAGGAACAAAAACAATTGCACTAAAAAACAAAAAATGTTAACAAAAAAAGTTATATAAAATATTTCTAAATAATTTTCGCATTAAATTGTTGCCAATCAGTCAACATTACATAAAGGACCGTGTTTTTTACAGAATGTTTTCAGTAATTGGTTTAAGAGAAAAACATTGTTGAATTCAGTTCTCCATATCGATACCAATCCTTTGCAATTGTGATGACACTGCACCACTTGAGAAGCTTAAAAAAGAAGGACATGATATAGATGAATGTATTATCAATAGCTCAAGTACATAAATAAGGGTTATGTACTGGGAGGTTTTGGATATGGGGTTTATCCAGAGGGAGATATGCATATCTACCTGAGGGACCGTAGGGACCGAAGGTCGATGTGCATATCTCACGAGGGATGAAGCCAATATCCAAACCGACCGTACATAACTGCTTTATCCTATACCAAGTAGAGTTTTCAGGGGCATATGGCCATTTCAATAGTACAAGTTGTAAAAATAAACAAATCATTCATATGCAAAGTCATTTTATTGCATTACCGGAAGCGGGAAGATATGCACCGAAGCGGGAGATATGGCGGGAGATATGGAGGTTCTGGATATGGAAACCTCAAAATCAGGATACGGGATATATCTTACCAACTTATCTCCCTAAAACTCTACTTGGCATAGGATAAATAAGGTTATATAACCTTATATAACTCTCTCAATATCAAGTGTTGATCATATATTTGTAATCTTTCAGTCTTCACAGACACGTTCAGGAACCATGGATTTGATCAAATTTGCAGTTTTGATGACACTTTGGTTGGAGTTTACTGACAGCAGTAGCATACTCCTTGCACCACTTGATATAGGTTATAATAGTCGAGTGAGAAATGTTTTGAGAATTGGGCGAATGTTACTACAAGCTGGCCATGAAGTGACTGTAATCGTGTCAGATAGGATAGAGAATGAATCTCTATTTAAACATGCAGAGGGCTTTAACTTGGACTTGACATTTAGGGTTTTAAAGTACAAGACCCCCACATTCGATCTGGATACAGCCTACTCCACAGCAAATCAGGAATGGCTCAATAGTATGGTATATCAACCCTATACAACCCTTCTTCAAATCGTAGGACAAGCATATGAAGAAAACTTAAAATTCGCATTGGGAGACAAGGAAATGTGGAATGAAATAGCGTCATCAAAATTTGATCTAATTTTTGCAGATGACTCTGTATTTTTTCCGAGACTAGTTTCTGCATATTTTGACATTCCAATGATAGTCTACTCTAACTGGGGTCCTATGTCAACTGATACTAACTTCGTTCCACGATATAATTTGGCGTATGTTCCTGCTTTTTTCCCTACTTATAGTGATGAAATGACATTTTTAGAACGGTTTATGAACGTTTTGGAGTATTCGCTTATAAAGTGGACATGGTACAATATGTACAATAGATTCATCTCTATCTGCAGGGAACACGGCTACGGTGACGCATGTGACAATATAAGAGATGCATACAAGACTATATCACTATTCATGATAAACAGAAATGACGCTATCCATTACCCCGCCCCATATATGCCCCATATCATATCTGTTGAAGGATTTTTCTTAAAGTCTGAAACAGAACCTTTAGAAACAGAGTACAGCAATATCATCAAGAACGCAGGAGAACAAGGAATAATTGTTGCCAGTTTAGGATCTATGCATCGGAGATTAAGTTATAAGACGAGAGAAAAGTTCGCAACTGCCTTCGCTGCAATGCCTCAGACTGTTATATGGAGCTATGAGGGTCCCCTACCAAAAGGACTTGGCAATAACACCATCGTGAAAAAATGGATCCCTCAAGAGAGTCTTTTGGCACATTCCTCTACAAAGTTATTTGTGACACACTGTGGAGCGTCTGCGTTATTCCAAGCATTGCATTATGCTACACCAACTGTTGGATTGCCATTCTTTTGGGACCAGCCTTATAACTGCCACAAACTAACTCACAAAGTAAAGTCTGGGAAAACAGTTTTACCCATAGAAATGATGAGTGAAGAACTGAAGAACGCTATGCAAGAGGTGATCAGTGATAAACGCTATAAAGATAATGCGAATAAAGCTGCTGATATCTACCATAGCCAACCTATTGATCCAAAGAAAAAGCTTATGTATTGGATAGAGTACGTCATCAGACATAAAGGGGCTCATCATTTAAGGTCTCATGCAGAAAACGAGCTAAAACTTTTCCAATACTATCTACTTGATATAATTGCATTGGTTATGTGCTCTTTGGTTGTATTTGGTGGTATAATCGCCATTATTATCACATATTTAATTAAATGCATCTTATTTGATCACAAAATGAAAAAGGACTAGACTTGTGTATTGATAACAGTCAATGTTGAAGTGTTCCACGTTGACCACATGTTATTAGGTTACTGACGTCTATAGATAAAAAACCACTTGTCTCTAAATGAATCCAAAGTAATGTACATAACATAAAATATATTTATAACGAGAAGACGAGATAGGACATTGGTTACAGTGAGTGGATTAATATGAACTCGGCTTTATGATGTCTGATATCTTTACACACGTATGCATAGAATAACCAACTAGTTCAGTATAATCTACAAGCTTTTAAATTGAGAAATATAATTCTTTAATGTCCTTATGAATGTTTAGTGGTAAAGATATTGAAAAAATATTCTTAAAGGATATCCATCTTCAAATTCTTTCCAAGAGAGACAGTATTGTCAGAACAAGACGGTTACCATGCCACTAGCTTCATCCAAGAGATAATACTAACTAAATATGCCATATATGAGTTTCTCATATTTCCACCAGTATGTTGTGCCATTTTATCACTGAAACAGATTCATTCCAAAACTTGTAGAATTTCTCCGCAGAGAATGCATCAGCATCCATGTAAGATATACTAAATAATGTTCAAAATAAAGCATTTACATAATTCATATCTATCTTCGACTTCTAAAATTGTATCAAGTGACAGGTTTTAGTTCATGAAGTGCAGTAACACACGTCATGTTTTTATATGTAGCCAATTTAACTCCAAGTGAACCACATTTTACAATCAAGTTTTGCAGTTTGGTAAGTTGACGGACTTATACAGTTTGTTAGCAACTTACAGAAAGCCAGCTTTTGCCAATATTAAGTGGGGTTCACTTTTCAAAAAATACCAGGGGGGTTCACTATTGACAACCTTGGCCCAAAATCACATGAAAAATGCTAAGAATGGTGGAAAACTGCAATTACGCATGGGAGCTTAATGTGCAGGATGCGGTTAACTAGAGGGAAGGGTCAATTTGAAATTAATCTGAAGGCATCTAGGTATCATTTTTAAGTGAGACGATTAGAGCGATTAGGAATTACTAGATCAAATGATTATTTCTTATCAAAGCTTACAAAAAATATTTTTGATCTGCCAAGCTTTATATATCAAGTTTTTTATCAATGTCATTAAAAGATGGCGAAGTTGTTTGTATTACATGATACATTCATTTTTATAGAAGTGTTGCCATCTTTTAAATCAATAGTAATTTAAAACATGCACTTTGTTTAACATGTGCATGCATGTCTAATGATCTCTGAACTTCAAATGCTTTTTTCTATGTGAGTTATTTTTTTCTTGGTCCAATATTAAAGCAAAACAAACTTTGTGTCATATTTGAGCAAGTGTGTGAGTAACATGTTTCAATGAATATTTTTTCTTTTTTCTTCTAAATTAAGTATAGTGTGCCTTTAAGAATCAGAAATCCTCCAAAATACATCAATTTACATAACTCAGATTTAAAAGCATGAAATGTGATTGGTTTATTCTTTATAAATGGCCTCAGCTAAATGAGGCTCAAAATACATGGTACACTGTTTAAATAGAAAACACACAATTCCTTATGCTATGGGATAATACCCCTATTTATAAATATAACTCATTATAAATCATGCCAGTCATGCATTTCCACCATGAAATCCCCACATATAGGAGAGAAATAAAGATCCAATGAAAATTGGAGAACACATTTAGGAAAATATCTGATCTAATTGTGTAGCGAGATTTTATTCCGAAGAGATATGATAGCCAACCTGAAGAACAAAATGAAAGATTGATGGAATTACCTCTACCAAAATTAAGCTTGTTAGAATTACCTCTACCAATATACAGTATGAGAGAATCTCAATATATTTTTTCCGTTTTTCTTAGATATTTTATTGAATAATTCAAGTATAAATGGCCAACACATCCTATGAGATCAAGGCCTTCTCAGTTGCAAAACAGAAGATGTGATGAGTATCAGGATGGACCAATGCGGTAATTCATGAACCATGCAACTGAAGAAGGAATTGCAAAATTGACATATTCTATAGCTGTGCTTTGAACTGAAAATATGCAACTTATCCAGTTTAGTAAACATAAAGTGCTCTTCTATTTATCTCCTTTATTTCACTAGGGATGCATGAGTGGCATGACTATTGTATCCATGGATACCAGTGCTTTGAATTTGTATCCATGGGTATCTATTTAAACACACTTGTTACTAGAGGTGTCAAGTATTAACTGGTTAACCGGTTAACCGCCGATAATGCCTCGACCGGTCTGAGTTTTTATGGGCGGTTAGTTGACCGTGTATAATTCTGTTATTTCCCGCACTTATTTTGCATGCTAATCCGTTTGGTTTTATGGTGTCAGTTTCACGTAAGCTACTCATACATGTCATAAGTCCCATAACTCCTTACAAACATCCAATCAGCAACTTTAATCCCTGCCACATTGCTTTCCCGCGCTTACTTTGCATTTTAATCTGTTTGTTTTTCAAGCGTCAGTTTCATGTGAGCTACTCATACATGTGATAGGTCCGATAATTCCTTACAAACATCCAATCAGCAACTTTAATCCCTGCCACATTGCTTTCCCGCGCTTACCTACACAGAATAGCGTAAAGCTTGACGAACGTAAAAAATAAACGCCGATATATCATTTTTCCAATTTTGAAGATGAAGATTTCATTTGAAATTATAAGTTCAAATTTCCCGCCGGTTAACCGACTTTAACCGGTAAAAACCCCCGGTTAACCGGTTAATGCTCAAGCGGTTAATTGACACCACTACTTGTTACCGTAGATACTTATGTGTATCCAATGAGACTTAAACTTACATCTTCGGATACGGAAGTAAGATACAGGTAGCTGTGGATAATTTGTAATGTATTCACAGATGTTTAAATCATTATAAGAAATGAATCCCAATTGATGCTTTGTACTAGTATCCATGGATACACTTTTGAATTTTAATCATGAATACTTTGAATTCCCAGTCACTAGGCAGCACCCTACATTAAATTTTCTAATAGCTTGTTTAGCTTCATAAGTTATCAAATATATTATAAACCACCAGATATATACATAATAGCAAATCAGCTGTTCATCAATAGGAGAAACTATATTTTCAACCTATAATTTAGACTATAAAATAATATATAGTCTATCTATCTAATAGGCCATCAAATTAAATATTTGTTTATTGGTGCTTTCCTGACAATTTAAAACCCCAGTGTAGTTTTAAATCAAGTCTGGTCCCTACTTCTCCTCCACAATCTAAATTTATCTAAAAAGTGGAATATGTAAGGTAATCCAAGGGCTTGAAGCAAGACTCTCTTTGTGGTTAAACCATTTTTTTTTCTCTCAAGGGTAAAATATAAAATCAAAATGCTAGACTAACTTGGTATATTTTTTCCAAAAATCCCATTAAACAGAGATTTAACTTGATGTAGCCTTATTTTAAAGTAGCAGACCTATGATGGTTATTTTAAACAAATTGAAATAATACAAACATTGATTAAATATGAATGAGTCTGTATCTTTATTAAATGTTACAGAAAATACAGAATAAGTTTCATTCAAAATCTATGCCATAGGGACTTAAATTTTGAAACTAGTAAATTAATAAGAATTAATCATTTCATGCATATTTATTCAACAATCCTTGTATATTCACGTCATGTCCAAACTGTAACTGATGTTACCCATGATATGTGCTATCTGAACATTATTCAAGTTGAAATTTGGAGTTTTATAACAGATTTGCAATTGTTAGTCTGTCATTGCCAGAAGTGACCAATTTGGCTAGGGCTAAAACCAGAGGTAGGATTGTAAGACTTTCAAAAGAAGTAATAATTCTGAGTTCATCATATTCCATTTATGGGTCCAAAAACTAATATACAGGGTGTTCATAAAGTCTCTTTAAAATTACAGTACAAAGTCTGTTTAAAGTGTAAAGAAACTTTATGGACACCTTGTATAATTCCTCCTTCCAACCTCTGCCCATCAGCTAAAACACTTTGACTATAACAAATATTCAATTGGTGTTCAGAAACATCCATTACATTATGTAATCAAACATGACATAAAAAATTATGCCCGAGATAAAATGTATGTAATCAAACTTGACATATAAAAATTATGCCCAAGATAATTATATATGTGCTATATTGGGTGTCATGACAACAGGGGTAAGAAATAAATGGTCCAGCCATCATCATGTTTTCAGTTCTTCTCTATTCTATTCAGCTAGTATCAGTATCAAGACAGAATCTATAACTCTAAAACATTTTTTGGAGTGAGCTAAAGATGCTGGGTGCTTTGGTATGGTTAAAAGGACTAGACCAAAATGTATAAAGTCTGTATAAAGTGTAAAGAAACTTTATCTCATAAAACTCTATCTCATAAACTCATAAAGTTTCTCTACACTTTATACAGACTTTGTACTGTAATTGTAAAGAAATTTTAGAAACTCATTCTTAACATGAACCTACATTTTGATATTTTTTCAATCCTGATATTTTAGATGCAGCGTAGTACTAGTTTTAATTGGAATTTTCTCAGTTTGCCAGGCATTTTTCACGTTTTCCCCACTAAAACATGAGAAATGCCTCGATATTAACCGAAAACAGATAAAATTCATATACTTTTCAAAATTACTCTGATTTTTGGACAGCACATATTAATAAATTAATAATATAGTTCTATTAATCTACTATTATTAATCTATGCTGTCCTGCTTGTAACAAACTTGATGTCTTTGGTTGGAATTAGATAGAAAGGTGCATTGAACAGTGCATAATACAATGTGATACAATTGGGTGACACAAAAGGGTGAAACTACAAGGTGACATACCACCCAATGACCCTTGAGGTAACACTACAGGGTGAAATATAAGTTGAAACTACAGGGTGACAGAAAATACTGACACATACAAAAAGTGACACTGCAAGGTGTCAAAACCACCTAGTGACACTGCAAGGTGTCAAAACAACTCAAGTGACACAACAAGGTGTCAAAACCACCTCCTATGGAAATTATAACTATATACATCATTAATACCATAAGGGTAAAAAGTGCAATCTTTAAATGCTCAATTTATTATTTCAATAATTTGACATTACTTGAAAAATGCAGTAAGATCGGCAGAAAATTTGATATGAATACATGAAAAGATACTGCCGCTATTCTGCCAACTTATAACAATAACAATTATAATATACTATGCACATATACACAAACACATACGTGTTCATAGGAAAAATATAGATATTGCCTATAATTAATTACAGCTACACTTTACATATGAAAACTCCTCTATTTTACATACCAACTTTACATATCTACAAGTTACTTGTCCATTTACTCAATTTGCATCCATACCTGGATTTTGATTTCAATACTGCAGTTTCATTTTTGCAATTTTGCACGATGAGAGAATTATCCTAGAATTACTGATTTCCCACCGCCTTTCCAACAATCCATCTTCAAATCATAATATTAAAAGATATCTGTTGCTTTAAGCAAAGTATGATAACTGTACTATGATTTCAAAATACCATTCCTTACAGAATATCACTGCTTACAAAATACCACTGTCTGGAGAAATACACCTGCTTACAGGTAAACTCAATGGAAATGCAGCAGATTCTAGCATTTTTCTCTCTCAGTGCATTATTAACACGTTCTTAAGAAATATGTATATCTGAACTTAAATGTTCTTTACTTGAAAAAGTCATGCTTTAAGAAATGCATTTTCTCCCAAAATATCCCCAATCAAAATGAAATATGACAGAACAAATAAAACCATTGAAAAAGAGCACCTTTGAAAAGTAGCTTTCTAGATACCAAAGTTATTGACCTTGACTCTATAAATCATTAAAATCCTAATATTTTTCATGGTTTGGTTCTTAACTGGGAACATTTTGAAGAAAAGCATTTTCAAATATAATAACAGACTATGATAGCCTTTTATCAAGTACATTGTTGTTCAACAAGTTGAACCAAGTCTCGGCCTTATTTATTATCTGATATTTCTTAGGTGGCCCGAAATTAATAAATTAAGCCAGATATTTGGTTTAAACTTGTCGAGCTATTCATCAAGATGTGTTTTGTTCAACTACTTATTTTCTCACATAATCAAACTTCATTTAGATGGATTCAGAATCCAAATATAATTCCTACCCTGAATGCCAACCAGTTATATATACTGCCCTCTGACAATTGCAGTTGATTCTATAGTTTTGCTGCAGAAATTATCTTAATGATCACAAATGTATATTTTATGGTATTTTACGTGAGTTTGAATGTAATAAAAATAAAACATAGCATTAACATGCAAAATGTCACCACTTGCCATTTGTTATAGATGCTAGCCGCCGAATGCCAAACACCAACTGTTGAATGCCAAACACCAGCCACTGGACACCAACCATCAAACACTGTCCACCAAAAGTGGGAAACTATAATAACTTGTGATTGTGACATAATAGCTACTTCTACAAATAAAATAAATGTCATGGTTTTCTCGCTTCATGATTGGATATAGGCTAAATCAACAAATCATCTTAAATGTAGAGTGAAAATGAAATTGAGATCTGTCAAGGGTACATCTTCTTCAGAAAAACAAAGAAGATATCCTGAATCTTGAAACCATGTAAACAGAAGATTACATTGCTACTCACTATAATTCTATATAATTCTACTGCAATGGCAACCATATTCTCTACAAATGTCCTAACGTTAGAGAATTTAAATTCCTAAAGACCATGGAGAGATGGTCATCTTTTCTAAATAAAACATTCATTTAAAAAAGGCATGATATGCATATGCTAAAATGAATAGATAAATCATGTACATGTATTTAATTAGGTACTTTTACATTTATAATTTTCAAAGGATAATTCCAACCTTGAGCTACAGACAGATAATTCACTTTTCTCTAATTTAACCTCCCCAGTTTCTATGTATATTCAGTTGTCTTTGAATAATTTATACAATACCATTAAACCCGTCTCAGTGAATACCATTTTCTCTCAAGGAAACACCTGTCTCTAGTGAGCACCATTTCTATGAAATATTTAGGCTACATGTGTTTAGGCCAAAAGTGTTCATATAAAAATAAACACTTCCCTCTGTACAGTAGAGAACACTTCTTACTTCAGTGAACACCTTTTGTGGTTCAAAGTGTGTTCACTCTACACAAGTTCTACTGTTCTTACACTCAGTTGTATAATTTACCTTCTCACTCATATGACGCATGCAGTGAGTTGTAAAATATCATTATCTATCAGCTGATATGCCACCGGTTTGATGTAGTTTTAAAACATTTTAATATACCGTATGTAAGTAGAGCAACCCGTACGTGTAGTTAAAGCTCTAAAACATGTACATAGAGCAACCAGTTTGTGTAGTTAAAGCTCTAAAACATGTTAGTAGAGTAACCAGTTTGTGTAGTTAAAGCTCTAAAACATGTACATAGAGCAACCAGTTTGTGTAGTTAAAGCTCTAAAACATGTTAGTAGAGTAACCAGTTTGTGTAGTTAAAGCACTAAAACATGTAAGTAGAGCAACAGTTTGTGTAGTTAAAGCTCTAAAACATGTACATAGAGCAACCAGTTTGTGTAGTTAAAGCTCTCACACATGTAACTACAAAACTAGACCAATCAGTTTGTGTATTTTAAGCTCGAATATATGGAATTGGATCAATCAATGTGTATTTAAAGCCCTACACATGTAATTTGACAAATCAGATTGTGTATTTAAAGCTCTAATATACATAAAGGGTACGTAATTCGACCAATCATTATGTGCAGTTAAAGCCCTTACACATGTATCTAGACCCATGATAGGTCAACACATGATCATTGATTGTATGGTTTGTACATTGAAAGGCAAATTCAACCTTCATTCATGGTCTTAAATACAAGTCGTCTTATAGTTTACGATTTATCTCTGCATATTCAGTCTTCTCTTTGTAGTGTATAATTTGGAGTTTTCCTAGGGTAAACATGGTAAAGGTGAACATCTAAATATTTCACTGACATCAAAACTGTTTCTAAATCCTCTAATTTCTTCTCCAAATCTACAGTAAGGCAGTTTTGCACAACCGATATCACTGGGTTTCCGTATCCACATGATATATATGACATCACATGTGATATCACAACCACATGGTTTCCGTATCCCCATTTTTCAGGCACATCTCTGAATAGAGCATACACTACACAAATATTCCCTAATTTGACTAAACAGCGGTTTCTTGATCCTCTGATACTACTAGTTGAAAATGTTCCTGACCTGAAATTAAATATAAAATAATGTAGATTGTTATTTAGTCTATTCAACAAATCATGTTTCTGATGTTTACAATACCATATATTACATAAAATCTAATTCTCTGATTTACTTGAGGTTTGTTTTTTCATTGAATTAATATCCAAAACTAATATCCAGGATATTTCAGGAAAATCTATACAATCAGAATAAGGATACGAAACTCACTCTCTAAATAAGCAGCTAGCTCCTTGTCTTCTGCTTTCACAGCCTGTAGACGTGGAGTATTGCCCTGAAGATAGATATTCAAAATAATCATTTTACATATCATTTTCTTATTTTAGTTCATTTCATGAAGAAAAATGTATTCCAGTCAGTATGTCAGCAGTTATGTTGTAAACATTTTTGATCAGCAGTTATGTTCTAAATATTTTTGATTAGCAGTTATGTTGTAAACATTTTTGATCCATCAATGAGGTTGACACAGCAAGTCCCGCAGCAAGTTCATTAAATAATCTTTTTGTCTTTTTATCAAAGTGTCTACACTATCTCAATTGGCTAAAACTTCATTGTCCTCTCATCAACCTTTTGTTTAAGCTGTACAAGCACTTGTATTAAAATTTGAAATAGAATAATAAAAATCTGTCACTATGTGTTCGCTGGAGAGAGGGTAATTTATACAGAAGTCAAAATAGTATATGCGGAGGAAGTGTATCCACAGGTGTTCACTAAGACAGGTTTTACTGTACATATGACAGTATTGATGTATTAGATATTGTACCTGGTAGTCTGTGCGTGTGAGTGAAGCCCCTGCCGCCACTAACAAACAGCAGATTGTGCGTCTCTGGTACCAAGCAGCCTTATGGAGAGCAGTCTGGCCCCTGCAAACAGACAGTAAAAAATGTTGTCAATTATATTTAGTCAATGTCACACACTTCAATGATTATTTTGCTTAACAATTTTGTAAATGCTTATTAAGTACCAAATGAAAGTTGTACACATGTAACTTTGCATATTCATAAAGTGGTACAGGGTGACCGGAAAAAGAGGAGAACATTGAAGAAGGCAATATCTCCTAAAATAGACAAGTGACATCAATGAAATTTTGCACACATCAGAACAGTTCTACGGAAAGGAGCACGTAAGTTATCGCAAACAATTTCAAACGATTCTAATTTGAATTATGAATATTTTCTTATCATGAACATGAGTATGTCTTTAAGATCCATTCATTATCTTCAAGAAAAGTATATATAGTCATAATTCAGTTAATCAGACCTAAGTGATATTGAAGGGGCAATGGACCAATCAACATACTTTTTCAAAAATGTTAACCTAATTTTCACCAAAAATGCAACCTTTTGTTATATTGTTGAATGCATTAATAGAATGTGCTTTGAGCCATGTTCGATTTCCTAAAAGGAAAATGTGATTGCTCCAGGGACTTTAAAGATACTGAATTTGGATGACCAAAATGAACTGAAACCAATGGATAGCATGATATTTTTCAATGGAGAAATAACATGGGGAACACTTATCTTAAAGCAATTAAGTTTTTCTTTCAAGAACTAATTGATACATCAAAATAAAGAATAGTTTGATTGCATTTTTGGTGAAAATGGGGTCAACATCTTTGAAAACGTGTATTGATGGGTTGATTGCTAGTTAAATATCTCCGAGTTTGTTTGACTTTATTATTACTATATATAATTTTCTTTCAACTAATGAATTGATCTAAAAGATAAACCTGTCTTCATTGTCAGAAAATACTCATAATCCAAGATATAACCTTCTGAAATTGTTTGCGATAACCTAATGCTCCTTTGTTCTTGAAAGTTTCAATTATTCTTCAATGAAGCATACTTACTTTTCAAGGTCCACCTTATCTAAGATAACTGGGGGTGCTGAAATATAGAATACACAAGGTTATCAACAGTAGGCCCATAGTCAGATTTTGCCAAGGGGGAGTATGACTTTTCAGAAAATTCCAGGGGATTTCACATTTGACAAATTTGACCGAAAATCACTTGTGAGCTCCGAATGGTGAAAATCTGCATTCAATTTTTTTGTTCGAACCGCCAAAACTCCCCTGGTTACAGACCTTAACTGCTACAATATAAGCATTGATCATGTTCCTTTTTAGGGTTGATCTACAGTCAAGTCAATTACTGGTATTATAAGTTAAAAACTATATAGCTTCTAATACAAAAAATGTTGTTTTAAGAATTTAACAATGAATAGATTCATATTTCTAGCTCACCATTTTCAATGAGATATTTCACAACCTCTTTGTGGCCAAACCTCGCAGCGTGGTGAAGTGCCGTCATCCCATACTGATCTGCCACAATGAGGCTTGCATCTTGCTCAACAAGTTCACGCATCTTTTTCAAGTCACCACGTTTTGACGCATCAATTAGTTCTAGAAATAAGAATGAGCATTGAAATCATGGCATTTTATGATGCTCATTTTTCAGTTTTTTTTATCATCTTTCATATTTATTGTAAGCACAAGTCATTTAGATACAATTACAAGGGGCAAAGCGCTGTAAGCATTAGATGTCCCCTTATATAAATAAACAATAAAGTACAATATTCATCTTAACCTGGATGTCACCTGTAAATGGTAGAATGCCTTGCAATGAAACAAAAGATAGGAGGGCTGCTGATATCCTGGGGGGGGGATGAGTATGTTGAAAAATGGAAACAGGTCATAGGCAGGAAAATATTTAGATTCTGGTTGTGTTTTCAATGAGATAATTCGCAACCAGTGAAAATAGATTATCCATTTCTAATTGGGTTAATGATGGATCCCCAAAAAGAAAAAAATGAATTTTGTCTTGCGGAGTTCTGAAATGAGTTAATAAGTCCCCATATATCCCTAAAGTATCTGTTATTAATTTATTTCTTTGTTGTTCTTTCTGAGGGCATTTGAAAAAGAAGTGGGAAAAAGTTTCAGGGGAACCACATAAACAATTTGATGACTCAACTGAGCTCCAATTGTGGGCTTTGAGCTGAGCTTTTAAAATTAAATCAGTAACCATCAAACAAGGTTGTAATTAAAACCTTAAACATTTTTGAAGTAAAACCATTTGAAAATAGCAAGAAAAAAGCAAGCGTGTAAGTATTTCTTCCACCGCAAACTGTATAATTTTGTACACAATTATTCTTTTGCTTATTGCGAATTCATTGTCATACTTTCTTTTTAAACCTTGTTATTATTTAATTGTGGCTTATAATGCTCCATTGCAAAGCCGCAACATGTGTATGTAATAATTCTATTTTACTATGAAATAAATAACATACATATAAAAAAAAAAAAAAATAGCAAGATACTTATATTATGAAAATGGACAAAACAGAAAAGTGTATAATGTAATAACAATAATGTGATCTAAAATTGGTAATCCATTACTTCATTTTCAAATGAAAGTATAATAAGTGGGACTGAGGGATAATATGGAACTAGTCTTATCCTTTTAATTTTAAACTAGATAACAGCAACACCGAAGTGTACCAAATCCCAGCGAACAGCCATGGCGAGTAGTACTTCTTCCCCATAGAGCATATATGTACAAAATATGAACAAAATAGGGCCAGTGGTATTTTAGTTATATCCCAGACAGACGTATGTACTTTCAGGCGGACGAAGGCATTCCCTATATGTCTCTGAACAATTGCTTGATGGGTTGACAAGCAGAAAATATGAACAAAATAGGGCCATTGGTATTTGAGTTATCAACCAGACAGACGTATGTACTTTCAGGCGGACGAAGGCATTCCCTATATCACTCTGAACTTTGCTTGATAGGATAACAAGCAGGAAATTTTACTCACGTTTGTCTTTGGTACTAAGAGTTGGGTGTTGTAGACAGGGTTCTGAGTTGGAGGTGAACTTCTTGGACATCTCTGGTGACTTGGGGGACCCTGGTTCTGAGCTGGATTGACAATATAACAGTTAAAAGATGGGTTATATATTATTATGTATCAAAGTAGTGAACATGTACTATATCATGCATAAGGTCAATGAGGATAGCTTGGAATATATTGGTAGATGATAAAGATGTTATAGCTAGGTTGTTTGCTGATTTAGAAAGGTTGTTTGATGATTTAGGTAGTTTGTTTGTTGATTTAGGTGGGTAACTTGTAATGAAACAGTAAAGCCATCCAACCCTCATAAGTGAAAATGAATTAAGCAAGGAGGGTGTACCTATTGTTAGACCCTGGCAAGGAGGGTGCAAGCAGGTTTTCCTTGCTCTCTAGCCTCAGGTGATGGAGGTTTGTCCCACTCACAAAACTGAAATAATAAATGGTTAGCAAAGGTGAATGATTAATCATGAGTGAGTGTGATAGTCCAATCTGCAAGGTGGAGGGGGGTGGGGGGTGGAAAGGGTGACAAGCACATTTGTAAGGGGGGTGGGGGACCTAAGGGTGATGGAAGTTTGTCCCACTCACAAAACTGAAATAACAAATGGTTAGCAAAGGTGAATGGTTGATCATTAATAGTGACAGAGTGATAGGCCCATCTGCAAGGTGGAGGGGGAGTGGAAAGGGTGGCAAGCACATTTGCAAGGGGGTGGGGGGGGTCTAAGGATGACAGGCTAATTTGCAAGGGGGAGGAGGGTGACAGGTCCAATTTAAAGGGGGCGCACAGGGTGATAGGCCCATTTGCAAGGGAAAGGTTGCAAAATGTGACAGATCCAGTTTCAAGTGGGTGCAAGGGGTGATAGGCCCATTTGCAAGGGGAAGGTTGCAAAATGTGACAGATCCAATTTCAAGTGGGTGCAAGGGGTGATAGGCCCATTTGCACGGGTAATAGGCTGATTTGCAAGAGGGAATAGGCCCATTTGCAGATGATATGCTCATGTTAGAAGTGGATGGATAAGATTTTACAGTGACAGACCCATTGCAACAGGAGCAAGTTAAAGGTGAATATCATAAAGGGTGAAATGTTCGCATTATCTGAAAAAGTTCATTCCTGTTAACCCAAGTCATATATCACAGTAAAAGCTCACAAACATGGAGGAGAGAGGTAGGTCACTGGTGATCCACTCAATTACGCTGGTTACCGAAACGTCGTGGGGATTCTGCCTACAACACGTGAAGGAGGAGGCAAGGAGGGTGCAAGCATACCTTCTACGTTCCGGTTCGGTAACCAGCATAATCGAGGGGATCACCAGTGTAGGTCTAGATACATTATGTATACAATCAATAGAATATATATTCCCACATATTTTCTACCTGCTTTTTAGATACATATATTTCCCCTCGGATAAACCATGTATTCAAAACCCCTGCACATAACCCTTAATATTACATATTATATTTTACATATGTGATGCAACATCTAAAATCAAGTGATGAGTTACATCTGGAGAAACCATGTATTCAAAACCCCTCTAAGTAACCATTATCTATTATGTATTCAAAACCCCTTTACATAACTCTTATATTTTACATATTATATTTTACAGTCATGTGATGCAACATCTAAAACAAGTGATGAGTGGCTATACATAATTAGCATAGCAGGAATCAGATTGTATCAGATTGAGAAAAACTGAAAACATGTTTATAATCAAAGCGGGCGGGGCTATATAGAATGGTGATATTTTGTGCGCAAAGTAACTTCAACAAGTAAAAATGTGGTGGTTGTGCAGCATCAATAGCAGTTCTAAAAATGAAAACACATACAGAACATTAAGTTTGAAAGTACAGTAGAAGATTGCATACAAGTGAGACAATACACCATATGGCTCATATATAAAACAGAACACCATACAAATTGACATACATGGATTCATATTTAACAATACTCCATTCAGTTCAAATTGACACATAACATACCTTAGATCATTCAGTAAAAATTGACATTAAAATACAGCTTGGTTGAAATGGACATGTTTATGCCTTATTTTAATACACAACTTAGTTCAAATTGACATTTGACAATACTCCACTCATTTCAAGTTAACACCTAACAATAGTTCAAATTGGCATTAATACACAACTAAGTTCAAGTTGACATTTGACAAAAATACTCTCCCCATATCAAATTAACATTTGACAATGGTTCAAATTGGCATTAATACACAACAAAGTTTAAATTGACATTTGACAATACTCCTCTCATATCAAATTGACATTTGACAATGGTCCAAATTGGCATTTATACACAAATAAGTTCAAAATGGCATTGACATAATACACCACTTGATTCAGACAAGAGACAACTTGGTTTGAACTGACTTTCAGACAGAGCTTAGAACTGAATTCAAGTTGACAATTCACCTAAACACATTTCAAGTTGACATTTGAAAAAATCAACATAATTCAAATTGACATTTGACAAAAACACACTCGGTCAAAATACATATCTTTCAACTCCATTTGATCTAAACCTCCATAAATCTCATTCTTTAATGTGAAACCTTTGATGAAAACCAAGTGCATCCACTGACAAACATAAAACAATACAATACAAAACTTCAATCATGCAAGAGAGCAATAGGGAGAGAGAGACATCAGTTGCACTTGGGTACCTAGTCAGTTTGTTGGCTGGTATGGTCAAATAACATTGATCCTGGGTCTCCCCCTGTTGCCACTGATCCTCAGTCCCTGTCCTAAAATAAAACCCATTGACATGTCAACATAACCTATAGTATTATCCATTAACATATCAACATGGCCTACAATATAACTCATTAACATGTCAACAGAAATATTCAAAACCAAAATCAGAAAAAGAAAGATATAATTTATTAACATTCGAAATCATTTGGGGTTGAATTGACTCAGGGTCGAGTTGACTTGGGGTTAAGATGACCAAGGGTTGAGTTGACTTAGGGTTGAGTTGACTTAGGTTGCATTGATTTGGGGTTGAGTTGACCAGTTACCATCAACTTGACCCGATATGAGTAGAGTAGGGAGAGGAATGGCTTGCACCTTGAGTTAGAAAACGGAGGACATGATATAAATGATACTTATGAATGCTTTTTAATGCTAAACTGAATTTCAGTTTTTTAGTATCATACTGGTGCGTTTATTGAACTAGATGGACATGTGAAATACATACAATTTACACATATATCTATTGATTATACAAAGCAGAATCTATGTGTCTTAAGAAATTTATCTTTCGTGACGTTGATATACAGATTGTGTTTTGCAATCTTTTCTAGCAAGCAAATATGGGTCTTATTTTAGAAACACCAGGCTCATGGCTTGATGAGTTGAAAAGTTTATCACTTATTTAAAGAGGGTGGAAGCAGTTCTTGCTCTTACAAAGGGTTAACAAAAAGCTACCTACTTTGGAGACTTGGGTGGAGTGACAGGTAGTGTAAATGTGAGTGATATTGGAGCATTCTCATTGCCTTGGTTACTGTTGCCATGGTGACCATTGGATTGTTGTAGGGGTGACACTACCGGAGTGTTATATACATCACCATTGGATACCTAGCAACATCAAATATAATACATGTATTTTGTAATTGATCTATTTGTAATGAATTTTCACAAATAAACACTTCTTTATCAGTTCATTTATCTAAAGTATGTGAACAACACATCAACATACCCACCAGAGCTTTTGTAGTTCAAATTTAGCATGTACATGAAAGTGCTAAATATTTAAATCAACCGTTGTTCACTTGTTACTACTACACTGATATAAATAAACATGTAGTTAAGATAAAAATAGGTGTCAATATATTACATAATGTAATGGTATGTAAAATCTTTAATATTTCCCCATTTAATTGACAGTAGGGTACTGTATTTACCTTATTCCTTGCATATGTCGTTGGTAGTTCTGGATCAAGAATATAGAGGTCCTCAGAAGAGATATCTGTGACGTAATGTAAATGTTCCTGTCCACGGTCAATTCTGAAGAACCTGTCAGTCGTAGTTGCTGCAAATTTTGACATCATAATATTGGACATTTAATTTTATATATGACATCAAAAGTAATATATGACATCAAAATGTTGTGAAGTATAAGACATCAAATACACTATATGCCATTGCGAACAATAACTGACATCTTGATCGGCATCATTAAAATGAAATTCAAAATACAGTGAAACCTGTTAGAGGAACACTTTACTTTTGAAAAAGTCTTTCCAATTCTTTTGAAATGAACCTCAAAAGAAAACTTCCAAAGTAGAAAACTTTTTACAGGTATTTTATGAAACATGTTTTACTGTAAAGAGGAATTCATTCAAATTTTGGAGAAATTGTTTAAACTAAAGAGAAGGCAGACATTTTCAAGAAATATTTGAAAAGCAACTTACAGTCGACAAAGCACCAGTTCTGAGACAGACTCTGCTCACCTCCCTGCAGTCCCTGATTGGATTTGACAATATCCTGTAACAGAATTGACAATTGAAATACAAGTGGTTTAAACTTCGCAGGATGTCGTGTCTTTATATCATTTCTTTATGTCGTGTCTTTATGTCATGTCTTTATATAGGCGCTGTATGGGCTTCTCTTCCCTGTATCTTTTAGTTTTGGTATTTGGGTCTATATACCGTTAGTTACAATGCACAATGAATTTCACTCGTTTTTTAAAATATATCTGCTGAAACAATCTCTGAATAAATTCTTAACATCCTCTCAAAAGGCTTAATGAATTCATAAAGAAGTATTTAAGCTGAGTTAATGGATTTACAAGTTGATTCACAGTTCTTACCTCTTGCAGATTATTGATATGTTTACGGATTGTTTCAAGATCAGCATCATTTTCAACAACAATGATCCCCATTGGAGTCGCTGAAATTGAGAAGCAAAATTTAATGAATTATTGTGTTGGCAAGCCATACAGGTTCCATAGTCTCATTCTGACCCTTCTAGCCATATTGGTGTACACTTTATAGGTCCTCACTTGCAATATTGTACTTTAAGCAATGATTTGGAACAAAATATGTCAACATATACATGTCATCTCGACACTGATAAATACATTTCAAGTTAACTTGAAAGTTAATTAAACTAAATTGCAATGTAATAATGAATGGTCTGTAGATAGCAGGTCAGAGATTCTGATTGGTCAATATTATGGTGAGATGATTCTGATTGGTTACTTACATGATTCCCGTAGCTTGTCCTTATCGTAATGTAAGGTTTCATAGTCCACAAGGCTGATCTTGCTGACCTGAATTCTAAGTCTCTCAGCCACAGAAGGGGGACTGAAAAATGCAGATTCAGGACTAAAATTACTGGGTAAGTATGTCCTATTACTACAGCATTTGGGACCTATATTACTGGGGTAATGACTTATATTATAAGCAATCATAATTCAAATATGTGCACACATATAGATGATCTTAATTAATTTTTCTTAAGCATTCGGGATATTAAGGTAGGTGAAGTAGAATGAATTATTTGAATGATTTTCATGTCTTAAAGGTGTTCTAATTTGCCTACCTTAATGAATAGGTCAGGGTATCATTTCTAATTTATTCAGGACATTATCTACACCCCCAAAATGCAATCTGATTTTCGACGACGTTTCGGTGGCAAATTTTGGCACCAAATGGACTGACTAGTCCGGTGGCAAATTTTGGTGTTGAAAGGTTTTGGTGCTGGAACAGTGCCAAATTTTTTCGATGCCGAAATGGCGCCGAATTATATTGGCTGTGTACTTGGTATTAATGATTGTACTTTAACAATGAGTAAGGCATGGTGACATTTTATTCCTAAGACGATGATTGTTATTACAACTTTTAGTGACTTTTCTTGACTCTAACTACTTAAGGGAGTTTCAAAAGTAATTAACTTATAAATGTTATCTATTATCAAGTGACAACAGAGTGCCACCTTAACCTTTTGGACAAAAAACAAGTAGAAGATTGCCCTGTTGAGACAGTTTATAATTCAATTATGGATCAAATTTAACCGATTTGCCATGGCAGGGTGGAGTGACTTTTTCACATCAGCCCTTACCGTAGGATTTAATCCTACGTTTGAAATTAATCAATATTTAGCTACTTAGTGCTCATCATATTTTTTTAGTGTAGACAGGACAGAAAAATAATCTAATGCAAAATTCTTTCTGAAGTACATGTAAATACAATGCAGTACGTGCGATTAAAAAAATAAAATTTTAATAAAAATTACACTCAAGGAGAAAAGGTAAAACACATTAATGTACAGTACATATTTAGTAATATTATTATAAAAATGGAAATGCCTTAGATTATGCAATCTATGGGTAGAGGAAGAAATCAAAAATAGGGTGCGCCACTATGTCTGCTTATAAGTACTTACACATCACTATCGCGTGACTTGCTAGAAACAAAAAACATTACAAGTAACCTCCTATTTTACATCATCTAACATTGCTTTCGTAGTTTAAATTGTATTAAGTCCTTTTTACACTGATCAGTCTTTTTAGATCCCCTGTGTATTCTCAAATGGAGAAAATACCTGTTTTGATAGAATATTAAAATCAGACCTAAACAGACTATTGATTGGTCTTGAGTCTCTTGACAGCTGTTTTTGAAAACAACCCATGGTATCCCGTTGAGTCTGGTGAAGCCTGATGGAGACTGCTATGAAAAATCTGGTGGAGTTTTGTGGAATGAGTAGTTTCATTTATCACCATCTTCATCGGACTTCTTTTGTTAAAATCTGATCACGTGATAACTTCATGGTAACAGAGGCCTTCATGCACGATGTCACACAATCCAAGGGGCTTTCATCAGAATCAATGAGACACCATGGGATGATACTTCAAAAAAGATCAATTAAAAAGACCTGTCAGTGAAAATGGGGCATTACAGTAAAACCTGTACATCCAAACACCTCTCTAATCTGAATACCTCTGAATGTGAACGTTTTTTTCAGTTCAAACTTTAAATCTGCCATACTAACTAATAATGTGAAAATCACAACGCTTTATTTCATTTTTTGTCTGTAGAGAGACTAAAAAACCTTTAAACCCAAATACTATCTTTTAAATAAAAACAACATTATCACAGAAATATGCAAAGATGAATGACGCAAGAACTCATCATCCAAAGGAAAGATGCATTTCATACTCACTCATTTAGTATTGGAATAGACCCCCTGCGTTTAGGCTTCAGGACCATATTGGCTTGGTTACGTAGCGATATGTTAATAACTGACGGGAAAAGACGACACGGCTCTCCGTCAACTTGCATAGGAATGGTTTTGTGTGTTGTGAGACGACATGACTTGCATTGTGCGATCCTCTCACCATGAGCTCCCATCTGAAGTGCTGCCTACAAACAGAAACTGCATCTTGTAAAACATATATCTTACTCTGTTTGTTTTATTCATTTCAATTTATAAGTTGTTTATACACTGATAGACGTGGAAATGATTTTGAGGTGGGATAAAAGGATTCACTAACCCCTACATGTATAGACACAGGATGGGAGGGCAGGAGCCTCCGAGAGGCGTACCTAACCCTAATGACATAGAATGGGTGGGCAGGAGCTTTGATTCACCATGGCCACCAGGTACCCCCATGGGTATTCAATCAAAATAATCTTTCACACGTTAACATTCTCCATATTTAATTTGAAGACTATATTAATATGAATAGTTCTATCAGTATAAAAAAAACTGGACTTCCCAGTGAAAATTTACAATTTTTTACAAAAACACAATGACACTTCATATTACTGTGACGGAATATTTCCTAGAATTCCTAATATAATTCTAGGGAGAAAAGGGTTCATAAAGGAATTTACATACCAAAGAGGCTGCGGTGAAGCCCAGGACCTCTAAATAGCCATCGTCATGACGCTGGGGCTCAAAACTTGCTGTGCTTCCCCATGGGGTGGTACCACTTGCATATCTATAATAAATAATAAAATACATGTGTTCATAAGTTCAAAATGATTAACTCTTTGCTATTACATATGATTCATAGCTAATATACAGGTCCATCTGAAGACCAGCAAAAAGGGAGGGGGTGCGGAATTAGTTGGACAAAAAGGGGTTGTGACATATATATTGGTAGAGACACTCTTTTTTATCAACTCATTGCAATCACTATCATGTTTCAATTACAACTTACTTGCAATCACTATCATGTTTCAATTACAACTTACTTGCAATCAATATCAAGTCTCAATTACAACTTACTTGCAATCACTATCACATTTCAATTACAATTTAATTGCAATCAATATCATGTTTCAATTACAACTTACTTGGGAATATTGAGAAATACAAGGCAGTGAATCCTGAGGTCTTTGATTTTAGATGTCAAGTCTACGCCATCACATTCCAATCTGAGGTGCTCTGCTAGGTTACGCCAATTACGCTGCAGAAGTCCCTTTCCTCCAGCCTGAAATATATATGGTATTTATGTGATAAACATATAAGTTTTTATCAGACAGCATTTTTAATGTAAGCCTTTTACCATTTTAGGCTAACTTTTCTGTGCCAACCCTCTACAGTATATAACTACTTACTACTAAATTTGGCAAATCATGGTTTTGAGCCCAGTTGCAGTACTGCATTGTATAATCTATATTACATGAACTATATACAAAATATTTATGTTGAGAGATGTTCAAGTTTAGAGGTGCATCTCCAAAGATATGATTGTCAAGAGGACAACCAAGTGAAGATGATTGATCCAAATGATGGAGTTTGATGAAACAGGTAAGAATTGCAAGAAACAACAAAGCATTAACATGACAAAATGTCACCACCTAATTGATGATTTGCGATCACCGAATGGATTCTATATTTTAGTGACGTCACAATTAGGCTACCCAGCTTTAGATGCTTGATTTTGAGAGATTATCTTCTATTTTCGTGCTTAATTGATTTATTTTTCAGGAAAGCTTTCGATTTGACTAGATCAACATTCATGCTAAGCACATACCAAGTCTAAGATCTTACTGACATGATTTAGATAGCGGTTAAGCGCCCCCCGATTTTTGACAAAAACGGGGGGCGCTTATAGGCATCGATGTTTAGTATGAATTTCACCCAAACTTCGCACATATATAGATATACTCATGATCTAGTCAAATCGGCATACCTGGTAAATATCCGACCCATGGTTTTCATAAAAGAAATGACAATATTTTTAGCTTAAAACTGCCACGTGTCCGCCATTTCGTGATTCCATCATGTTTAATATCATTTCTATATGACGTCACACCAGTAAGACGAAATATGTGACAACAGTATCCATAAACAAAATTCCTGAATTCTGATCGCAAAAGGTCAATTGATCAAATCTGAAATCTTCAGTCAGATTTGAAGTTCTCGATGAATTTGAAAATTTTTGGTCAGTTTAAAACAAGTATTTGTTAAAAGTTAATTGAAGTTGTAAGAATTTGTTACAGAAGCAAACCACCGATCGCTAACTGCCGTCACAAAGAAATGGAGACCATAACAATATGTCACCACCTTTTGGGTGGGTAGGTGTTTGAGAACCCATAGCAGGCCCGTAAGACACTTTTCTCAAAGGGGGGTGCGGTTTTAACCTAAGAGAAAAAAAATTGTCAATTTTTTGCCGCGTAAATCAAATTGCGTAAGTCAAAGGGGGGGGGGTCGGTTACTCCCTATATTGGGGCCACTCTGCCTATTTTGTAGTATTTTATTGTTTTCGTATTGTTTTTAGACTAAATATTGTGTGAGCAATTTGGAGAAACACTGGAATAGGGGGAGGGTGTACTAGAAGGGCATACATGCCCGAGAACTTTTACCAGTTCAAGATCACATTCAGTGATTTTTGGATCCTTTCAAGGTGTTTTAATTGAAATAGAATCTATTTATAAGGAATTCAGATTTTTTCAATCATTTTCTTCTTAGGGGAGTGAGGGGGCAGCAAGGAAAATTTTACTAATTCAAGATGCTGTCTGGTTAATTCTGAGCACTTTTAATGTGTTTTGAGTAAACGAATGCTTTAGTTTTTGGGGTGGGCTGCCAGAAATTTTTATGTTTTTATGATTTCATTATGTCACTTGGTGACTTCTAGGCACTTTTAAAGTGTTTGAAATTAACAAATGCAACTTCCAAACTTGTGAGGAGTGACCCACTCCCCCTAGAAAATTTGACACTTTTAAGATGCCATTTGGCATGTTTGGTGCTTTCTGGGTACTCTTAAAGTGAATGAGTGATTTTTTTAATTCTTTTTGGGGATGTCAAAGAGAATGAGAGGATGAAGTGGGGTGGAGTGCCAGAGGGGGAGCAAGGGGTTGTCCCAAAGAAACAATGACCATATCAAGGTGCCATTTAATGATGTCTGGGCACTTTAAAAATGTCTGAGACAATACATGAAATTCAGAATTTTCTCAATAGTTTTGTGGGGGATGTGTTTCTCTTCTAGAAAATTTTACAATTTTAAGATGATATTTGGTGCTTCTGGGCACTTTTAAAGTGTATGAGTCAATCGAAAAAAATTGAAAAACAATTACATTGTTTTTCAATTTTTGGGGGGGTGTCAAAGGGGGTGCCAGAGGGGGAGGTGGGATTAGGGTGCGAGAGGGGGAGCAAGTGTTTGTCCCCCATATCTGCCCCCAGAAACATTGACCATATCAAGGTGCTATTTGATGAAGTCTGGGCACTTTAAAAGTGTCTGAGACAATGCATGAAATAAATTCAGAATTTTTGTCAATTGTTTTGTGGGGGATGTGAGGGGTGGCCTACTTCCCTGGAAAATTTTACAATTTTAAGATGCTATTTGGTGCTTTCCGGGCACTTTCGAAGTGTATGACTCAATAAAACATTTGAAAAAATCACAATATTTTGGGGGATGTCAAAGGGGGAGGGGGTGCAAGAGGGGGAGGTGGGGTGGGGATGCAAGAGGGCGAGTAAGTGTTAGTCTCCCGGAATCATTCACTATATCAAGGAGCTATTTGATGATATCTGGGCACTTTACATGTGTCTGAGATGATACATAAAATAAATTCCGAACTTTTCAATTGGTTTGTTTTGGGTGTGAGGGGTGGCCCACTCCCCCTAGAAAATTTTACAATTTTAAAACGCTATTTAGTGCTCTCTGGCCACTTTCAAAGTGTATAACTCAATTAAAAAATTGAGAAAATAACATTTTTTTTCAATTATTTTGGAGGGGTGTCAAGGGGGGCGGGGGTGCCAGAGGGGAGGTGGGATGGGGTGGGGATACCGAAGGGGAGCAAGTGTTAGTCCCCCAGAAACATTGACTATATCGATGAGCTATGTGATGATATCTGGGCTCTTGGGCACTTTAAAAGTGTCTGTGACAATACATAAAATAAATTCAGAACTTTTCCATTGTATTGAAGGGGTGTGAGGGGTGGCCCACTCCCTCTAGAAAATTTTACAATTTTAAGATGCTTTTTGATGATTTCTGGGCACTTTAAAAGTGTATGAGATGATGAAAAAAAATTTCAAAAAAAAAATTTTTTCAAAAAAAATAAATAAAAAAAGAATTTAAAATTTTTTTTGGGGGGGTGTCAAAGGGGGGTGCGGTCGCACCCATCGCACCCCCCCCCCCATCTGACGGCCCTGCATAGCCCTCACATAAGTATTTTCATTATCTTCAATTTACATCAACTAATAGTGTGAATGAATTTAGGACAGATTCTGATTAATTGAATGTTCACTTACCGCTGCATAGAACATCTTATTCCTGAATCGGCTGTCAAACTTTTCAGGATTGGCCTCTGAAAAACATAAACAAATTTGGAAATGAAACAAAAATAATCTAATCATATGAAAGCAAAAATATGCCGATCCATAAGATTGAGATTTGAATTTTATGAAATTGGCGCAATTTTGAACCTCGCTTTGAGATTATTATAATAGTGTTGGTTTCTGTCGACTGCACTAATAAAAAACAAAGTCATATTTTGTGCCCATTATTCCCTAGCTTGGAGCAAACTAATCTATTCATTTCTTATTGTTTTAGTAAAATTTGGCTTTTAATATTGCTTTAATGCATGTAAATTCACAACATGTGTATATCAACCATATATGTTTTCTTTGAAATGGATTCTGAAGAAATTTATATGAAATCCTCTTTTATTCGAGATGCAATGACTAACTTTTGTAAAAACATAATTGAGATCAAATCATTAATCAAATAAATTTAAAAAAAAATTTCAACATTCTTTTCACTATCAAAACAGAAACCAAACGCAAAAAAATGCTGATTGAGGCACCATAAAAAATAACATGAGGATTTTTCAATGATTTGAAATTATTCAATTATGTACCTCTGGATTCGTGAAATTCTAGGGCTACATGAGCATCAGCCCCTAGACTAAAATAATTATTGAATACATCTAAAGGCATCGTTGTTGCCCCTGCATCCCTGGCTGCTTGATCCTCTGGGTCAATTTCTACCCCCTCCAGGGGAGTCACTTCAATATTCCAGCGATCAAGCTGAACAACAGGTCCATCTTCCACATTACATAAAATCTTCGAGATGGGCTCATCTGTGTAACCCTGAAATAGAAAAAAATCAATTTCAAATAAGTTGAATAAGAGAAGGGCATGTTCGTGTTACACTTATATAGAAAATAAAAGTCAAGTAATTTTCCTTATCAAATGAATGTTGTACTTAGACATTATATGGAATCCCATAATTAACAATTGATATATATTGATTAAACATCATTTCTTTCTAAACTGTGAAGGAAATCGTGCTTTCTGGTATCTTAATGTATAATTTACAGTATTAACCAATTAACTTATTGATTTCATTCCAAAGAAGACATTTCTTTTCCTATCTTCCCTCAAAAATCATAACTTTGTGTCATTTACAATATAGGGGCAGGTGCAAAATAATGTCATCATCTCCCAATTTGAGAATGGAAAAATAATACATACCCCTCCCAGTTGAATGTGGAAATGTTATACATACCCCTCCCCAGTTGAGTGTGCGTGCGAGGTCGTTTCCTGTCCCCAGGGGAAGAATCGCCACAGGGGGACAAGGGGTGATCCCTAGGTTATCTAGAGTCTGCAGAATCCATCCAACAGTCCCGTCCCCTCCACAAGCCAACACACGCAAGTTAGGCACTTTCTTAAACATTTCTAAACTGGAATATAAAGCACTCGCAAATTAGGTACTTTTTTTAAACATTTCTAGACTGAAAATAAAAAGAAAATACAAGTTGGGCACTTTCCTATTTTTCACTCTAACATGACCCATGATACGTTATTCAAGAAATCCCACTTTATATCAAAAATGTTTCTTGATTAAAATCATATAAACATGTAATAAAGTGACTAAATGATGCAATGAATGTGTTATCAATATTTTTTGAAAATGTTATTAATTGCTTACCCAAACTTTGGTCCCCCTGAGGATAAGTCGAACACCTGTCGGGGGTTGAGCAACCAATGAAATTTGTGCAATAATTTGCCTCCCTGGTTCCCACCTGATTTCGGGTTGATAAAGACAACTAAGGGCTTCAAATGGGGTGACGGGATTGACTTGATTATAAATGGTTTATGATCAGTATTACTGCGCTTTTTCTTGAGTGAGGCCTTTTTCTTCTTGCGTATTGAACTTTTAAATGAGCCCTGAAATAAAAAAAGAAAATTAATTTCTAATCTATGTGCCATGTTAAGGTCATAGTAAATTGTACACATTTATGGTATATTCACTGTTGACTGAGACCAAAGTCAACAGGGGATTTCCAAGTTTACAATGAAGGCACAGACTGCGATTGTGGAAACACAGTTTTACACATTTAACTGAACAATGAAAATGGCGAACTGCCAATAACACTTATAAAATGTCACATTTGTATTTCCTGGAAATAAAAGCAAATACGAGGAACTTGAACTTTTGTATTTATATAAACCACATGTACACATGCTTCCTTCTACGTAGATGTCTATTAAACAATGACATATTGTACTATTAAAACAGGCCACCCATACGCGTGCTTCCTGTAGAAGTAAGATTGTACAATCAGAATGGAAAAAGTGCTTTTATAAGATCGGAGCTACAATAACCGAAGTGTTAAAATAAACAATTAATCTATTAGGCACCACCTGTACTCGGGCTTCCTGTTACATTACGGATTGTAAGACCCGCACATGAGATTATCATGTAATCAACACCTAGTTCCCGTAATACGGTTTTAGACATTAAGATATCACAATATTTTATTTTCATATTTAACATTTTCTAAGAACATCTTTATTAAGACATGAAAATTATAAATAGTACTGTAGTATAATCTACCCCTGTGTTTTCATAATCAGAATAATGCAATATCAAATTTTAGACATTATGACATCACAATATTTCAAGTCATGAAAATTATAAATAGTACTGTAGTATGATCTGCCCCTGTGTTTTCATAATCAGAATTATGCAGTATATCAAATTTTAGACATTATGACATCACAATATTTCAAGTCATGAAAATTAGAAATAGTACTGGAGTATGATCTGCCCCTGTGTTTTCATAATCAGAATAATGCAGTATATCATCAAATTTTAGACATTATGACATCACAATATTTCAAGTCATGAAAATTAGAAATAGTACTGTAGTATGATCTGCCCCTGTGTTTTCATAATCAGAATAATGCAGTATATCATCAAATTTTAGACATTATGACATCACAATATTTCAAGTCATGAAAATTATAATTAGTACTGTTAAGTATGATCTGCCCCTGTGTTTTCATAATCAGAATAATGCAGTATATCAATTTGGAAATATGAAGGCATAAAAATCATATTGAATTGTATTACATGAAAAAAAATCGTATTGTCCCTGGGAAAAATATTGTATCAGAGGGAATTACATGAAAAAATTGTATTGTCCCCGGGAAAAATCGTATTGGAGCGTATAAACTTATTTTTGGTTTCCGGGTTATTTTATTAATTTTTTTTTCAAACAATGTGCATTTATTAATATAATGTTTGCATTATCCAAATGTAACTTTTTAGAGGGATGTATTATGGAATAAATAGGTTGTTTCTGGTCAGGATTGAATATGGGTTCTATTCCTCGGAAAATATGATATTGACCTTGGGCAATATCATATTGTCACTTGGTCACTGCACTTCCTCGGTCAATATCATATTACCCTTTGGTCAATATCATATTGTCCCCCGGAATAAAACCCATATTCAATCCCTCCCAGTAAATAACCTATATATATACATGTAGTTAATAATGTGCTCACCACCTGGTTCCCATAATACATTTTTACACATTATGACATCACAATGTTTCAGCATCACATTTAACATTTTCTAGGAATATCTTTTCTAAAAAGTACTGTAGTATGCCCCTGGGGCTCATTTTTGGTCAGATCATACCTTACGATTCCGACAAAACTGTTGTCTAACGAACAATGACTTGCGACCGAATTGTACATTACGAGGGTTCTAAAAACAGACCCCTGTGTCTTCATAATAATCAGTTTAATGTAGTATATTAATATATATATAGTTGACTATTCTTACTTTTCGTGGTATTTTGATTATCCAAGATGGTGGGATGATTATTCCCGCGTGCATACCCAGAGTGCACTGCTCTTCTATTTGTTGCATCATAAAGCACGTGATTTTGTTATGGTAAGCAGCCTTGCACCACGAGCAGCTTATTGCAATGATTTCCTGAAAAACAACAATACATTCCCCATCACATGGAGAATGGTTATCAAATTTCAGGGGTTTCACTATAATTTCTCACAACAGGTTAAATAAATGAAAACAACAGGCAAAATTAATGAAATCATAAATCTAACATAGAAAAGTTGAAAAGTCCTTAAAAACAACAGGCGATTTTATGAAAACAACCAGTCAAAATTGCCTGTTGCCTGCTGCTAATGAAACCCCTCTCAAATGGTCATGAAATTTGACATCAGATGTTATGGAGCAATTTTGTGTTGTTAAATAATAATTATTTCCGAAACAAATTGAGAGATCTGGAAAAATATCCTGTTCCTTTGCGTAAATGTGTCTTTAGTAGGAGTTGATTAGATAATTAGACTAGAGTAAAGTGAAGTAAAGTGATTGGTACAATACTGTCTCTGACTTGTACCATACTTTAAAGGTTTGCTGATGAGTTAAGTTATTGAGAGGTCATGATTCTCTGCTATTTCAATAACGCCGTCCAAGTATTGCAAAAACGTAATGAAAAATCCATGGACCCGGAAATAAAAAGTGATTGCGTTTTGTGGACGCAGTGCAAGCCATACTCATACAATCAACTTTGGATGAATGATTTGATAAAGATCTTACCTTCAGTCTCTTTATTTCGTCAGAATCCAATAAATAATTGAAGAAAATTCTATTTCTAAAAGAAATAAAATTTTCTTTCGAAATTTCCTTCCCGGAAGTTGATTTCTGATCGAAATAGTACGAGGCATGTGATAGGACAAAAATTTATACAATACTCGATTTCCGAGCAGTAATCAGTATGAGTCCTACGATTCGCCGGTAGCTTAAGACCTGATTCAAACCATTTTCAATTGGTCAAGTGTGATCACGTGATCATTATTTGAGACTGCATATGCGCAAGAAACTGAACTAAAAAGTTGAACCTCGCGCAGATTGCCCCTAAACTAAACATGCTAAAGCAAAATCAATAGCAAATTGTTTCGAAATTCGCAAGGAAAAGGTGTTTTAAATGGGAGAATATAAGTTATGATGGTATCTGTATCATTCAATGACATACTAGACTTGCAAGAACGCTGATTCAGACCGATAAATAGCAAAAGCAGTGGTACAAAATTTCATCAATTTATTTCATCCAGTGTAAAAACGTGACTTTTGAATTCCCGGGAACATTTTTTCAAGGGACGCAGTTTTTTGAAGGGAGACGCATTTTTTGAAAATCATTACGTCCAAGGGACGCAATTTTGGACAAGCCTACTGAAAACACTGATTCTTCTTCTTAAGAAATAAAATGAGCAAAAGGAATCAGCCAAAACAGAAGTATGGGTAAAATACATTCAAGAGAGTTACTTCCTAGTTAGGCCTACCCCATGTTAGGCCTACCCCATGTTTTGAATATAAAATAAAATTGCAAACATCAACTTTCAGAAACATTCCCTAATTATAGTAAATATATGCTTGTCTTTTACACCAATTTGCAGTAATTGCATTTTTAAATCTTCATTAAATGACCCTGTTTTCTGTATTACTGAAAGGTTTATGATAGCTCAACTGAGATATTTTGGATGACACATCACAAACACTTGGTTGATGCGAAATCACTACCCTAATGGCAAATTAATTGTATTTTAATTACATAAAAGCTTATGTCAACCAATATATTTGGAAAACAATCCATCAAGCAACATGACGTTACCAAAAAACAAATTTTTTAAAAGCATTCTCTTAAAATTGTGTCATCTTAACTATCAGCTAGAATCTTTGGAAAACGATCCATCATGTAACATGACAACACCACAAACAATTTTCGATAACATTCGTTTAACAATAGTGTCATCCTGACCAGAGTTTTGCTATTCAAATCTATTATTACACGAGACATTGGAATAGAAAATTTCCCCATGCTAAATTGAAACAATTAATGGCAGAAGATAGTTTGCATCTTGCAATAGGTCTCCAATCACTTCTTTTATATTTCAATTCCCCATGTTATGCCTGGGTCGCATTTGCTCCGATTCATCGCCTGGCGCCTGTCCGATTGAGTTCATATTGTATTCAGTTTTGAACAGAATACTCAATCAGCCGGGCGCCGGCCGATGAATCGGAGCAAATGTGACCAAGGCATAAGATTAGGAATGAGGGGACAACAAAAAATCTTGAAACTATTTTGAAAAAGTTGAAATACATAAAATGTCCTTAAAATTAAAGTGTTATTGATGTTGAACGGTAGAACTTAAATTAATTAATTTATCAAATCATAGTATGACTAGACTTCGAATTCTTTGGATGTCTCGAGGGCAGATTAAACAAGGCATTTTTGCATCCAAATTGTCATCAACTGCAATTTATTACAGGCTCTGACCGCCAACTGTCAAACACTGACTGCCAACAAAGAAAAAGTTGGAGACTATAACAACATGTCACCCCCTGGTGGTGACATAAAAGTTGGACTAGAAAATAGTGTTCACATTGAGAGGTGTTCAGATTATAGAGATGTTCGTATATATGAGCTTCAACTCACCTTACTGTGAAAGGAAAACTTCTGTTGGAAAGACTGAAAAATAAAAAAAGATCATGTAACAAGCATTATATCTATGATATATATAAACTTAATCTATTATCTGATATTTATTAATAATATATATCATAATAATATTTTTGATCAATCTCTTATTCAAAGTACAAATAGGTATTTCATCATTCTTTCATCATTCTAATTGATTCCCAGCACTCAAAACAGTGCCTATATTTGTAAGTCATTTGATATTCATATCGTATTATAGAAATTCTACTTTTGTAGTTTTAATCCCATTTGGCGTTATTTTTATATTTCATTGCGTAAGTACTTAATACTCAACACAAGTTTTTATTACACCTTTGATGTTTTGTAGAGTGAATCCAAGAGGAATCATAATATTATTAATATTTTAAATGCATTCTAATTAATTCTCAGCTCTTGAAACATTGTATTTGTAAAGATTTTTGATGTTATTTAGCTGATTTGAGAGGGAATGCTCGATTAGTAACAAACATCTTGTGATCATCTATAGACATTGGTACCAAATAGTTATATTTTGACTATAGGCCCATCTTTATCACTGCTGAAAACTTACTAAAATATGGTCATTTCAGCAAATGTCTTATCCTGAGAATCCTTAAATAAAGCTAGATGAATTTGAGCAAGCTGTATGTCATGAAAATACACAGAAAGTGATCAATTATACCACAGACATGAGTGTCAATGTTGAGTGACACTCGGACAAAATGAGTGTCTTAAAATGTCCAGCAATAATCCATGCATGTAGGAGTATGTAACGTTCTTTGATCAACAACTACCGCAGTACTGAATACCATTACCTTTATTAAAACTTGTCCTGTATTTTACCACAAATCCCTTTTTATAGTGTAAACTGTACACGAGCAGTGTCCATATTCAAGTTAATATATCATCAGCCACCAATTGGCACGATGGGTTTATCAAGATAGGATGGCAATCCAATTTTATACTTTTATAATTAATAATAATTTCACTGTTTTTTTATTGAAGGGTTTTGCAGGAACCAGAGAGGTTGCTGCCAAGTAAAAGTAGTGGAAAACAAAAAATAATGTTGAACAGGAGCTCCAGGACTAGGATTTGACCCCCTCTGGAAATTGCCAAAGAAGAAATGGACCTAATTTTTTTAATCCATTCCATCGGGCTCTCTTTGTAAAATTAGGGCCAGATTTTCCAGAAATGAGGTCCATTTTCCAAAAAGGCCAATTTCCTTGCTCCTACCCCTCCCCAAATCTACCAGTAGTCATCACCCTCTTCACCATTCCAAATGATTTATATTTCTGATGCTTATACAACCTTATCAATCAATCGATCTCAAATGAACCTTTTGTGGTCTTTCATGGGTGTTTGAAAGTACACTGAATATTAGTTACCGAAGCACAAAAAATGCAGTGTTTCATTTTCATACATATTAATGTCTAATTTAGAGTACATGTGAAATCAACTCTGGTAAAGGGTAATGACATGTGAAACTCTAATGGAAAATATTAATCAATCATGAAAGCATGTTACTGACAGACAAACACATCAATGTTAAGTGACATACCGACTAGCATGAAATCCATCCCAAGTACAACAATTAATATGTTGGAATATCCCAGGGAATTAAAGCCCAATATAAACTCATGTTACAAATTTTCCTTAAGATTGATTTTGATGAGGATGATTATTTCAAATAATATATGTATCCCTTCCACCATCAGGCCCGAGTGAGCTTTTGCCAAGGGGGGGGGACACTTTTCAAAAAATCCCAGGGAAAGCACACTTTTGACAATTTTGGCCCAAAACCACTTGAAAATGCTCAGAATGGTTAAAAACAGCATGATTTTGAAAGAATGTTTGGCCAGGGGGTGGGGGCTATGGGCATAACCATTGTCATAGGTGGTAGAAATGACAAGTTGACATGAGTGTGATGGACATCATAAAATAGAACATATAGATTTGACAAGTTAGTATAAAGCATTTCATTTTTCTTACCAGATTGCTTCCAAAACACATCTCAATCTGGCCCATTGTGTCATATTACCATAATGCTTATTCTTACCACATTGCTTACACTTATTCTGCCACATTGCTTACACTTATTCTGCCACATTGCTTACACTTACCTTGCCACATTGCTTACACTTGCCCTCCTGTCTTCGTCTGTGGACCCAGTGATGACGCATAAAAGTTTGCTGAAATAAAATATACAGTATATTAAGACTGAGATATGTGAGGTCAACTACTAGATCCAGTTTCGTATACATAGATGGCACTTGGGATTGCACGGAATGGAAGTCCAGTAAAACCTGTCAAAGTGAAACACCTTTAGAACCTCTAAAAGTGTTCCACTTGGGAGGTATTCCACTTATAATGGTTTATTTAACATTAAGTTAGTTGGTCATTGGACTCTGAAGTTTTCCACTTATAGAAATGTTCCACTTTACAGGTTTTACTGTATCATCTGTACCAGGGATTGTTCAGATCTGTCCTATTGGTTTGTGTGTAAATTTTGCTGTATTAAACCTTATAAATCACTGCAGCAATCGTATTAATATTATATTACATTTTCTCATCACAATCATTTTCAAACATGTTTTAAGATCCAATATCATAAGGTTTTAGATATTTTCATTTAATTCATCTTTGGGGATTTCTGAAGCAATTTTTACATGTTAAAGTATACAAATTAAACCCGTGAAATCTTCGCCATCTATTGACATTCCTTAAGGCCATTATGAAAACTGTAACCTTATTCACGATCACTTCAATTTACTTTGCTGTTGCGTGAGTGCAATTGTGTCATCTAACATTTATCAACTTTTAATAAAGCTAAAATATAGTTTAATAATATCATCATACAGCTTATTTCCCACCATTTTTACAATAATGTTCTCTTCGTACAATAACTTTGCATTTTATGAACACATAAAAACATTGCACTTTACGAACACATAATAACATTGCACTTTATGAACACATAAAAACAGAAATTGCATGGTATATAAAAACAATAAAAACAAGATTATTTGTGCCGCACTGATGAATTAAATGAATTACGAGATTTGGGTTCACAGTTTCAATTGTTTTAGAAAGTAATATCAGTCATGATCAGACTTTAAGAAAAATGTAATTTGTTTTCGCTATTAAAATTTGACCTTGGGATAAGAAGTTCATTGCTCCTTCAACAGGAAACGATAAAAATACCAAATCTGTCAGATCTAATCAATGGATTTACAAGTTTACGATATTATCAAATTTCTAAAAATATCTAGTACATGACAAGGTTAAGCCTTAAAAATAAATTATTTTTCTAGCTTTCCGAGTTCCTTTCCATTATCTACTCTCATGGGGGTATTAGCCATGTACTAAACTATTTAAAACTATAGATCAATATTCCAAAAGTGACAGATTTAATCTCAGAATGATGTCACATCAAAAATGATGCGTCTGGGATTTCTTTGATATTTTTAGAATAATGAACATTTTGTTTTCAAGGTTAGAGCTTGATTGGTTTGATTTATCATCAAAAAGTCAAAGGCCTTCCTAATCATCTATTTAAATATGAGGTTAATAATAACATGTTTTTCTAACTAGTTCCTAATTTTTCAATTGAGATTTTCTAGGGTCTATCATGGATCTATTATGGGGACCACAATTTAACAAGTTTTTCTAACCAGTTCCTAATTTTTCAATTGAGATTTTCTAGGGTCTATCATGGATCTATTATGGGGACCACAATTTAACAAGTTTTTCTAACCAGTTCCTAATTTTTTAATTGAGATTTTCTAGGGTCTATCATGGATCTACCATGGTGACCACAATTTAACAAGTTTTTCTAACTAGTTCCTAATTTTTCAATTGAGATTTTCTAGGGTCTATCATGGATCTATTATGGTGACCACAATTTAACAAGTTTTTCTAACCAGTTCCTAATTTTTCAATTGAGATTTTCTAGGGTCTATCATGGATCTATTATGGGGACCACAATTTAACAAGTTTTTCTAACCAGTTCCTAATTTTTCAATTGAGATTTTCTAGGGTCTATCATGGATCTACCATGGTGACCACAATTTAACAAGTTTTTCTAACCAGTTCCTAATTTTTCAATTGTGATTTTCTAGGGTCTATCATGGATCTATTATGGGGACCACAATTAAACAAGTTTTTCTAACCAGTTCCTAATTTTTCAATTGTGATTTTCTAGGGTCTATCATGGATCTATTATGGTGACCACAATTTAACATGTTTTTCTAACCAGTTCCTTATTTTTCAATTGAGATTTTCTAGGGTCTATCATGGATCTATTATGGTGACCACAATTTAACATGTTTTTCTAACTAGTTCCTAATTTTTCAATTGAGATTTTCTAGGGTCTATCATGGATCTACCATGGTGACCACAATTTAACAAGTTTTTCTAACCAGTTCCTAATTTTTCAAATGAGCTTTTCTAGGGTCTATCATGGATCTATTATGGGGACCACAATTTAACAAGTTTTCTAACCAGTTACTAATTTTTCAATTGAGATTTTCTAGGGTCTATCATGGATCTACCATGGTGACCACAATTTACTGGGGAGCAACCAAAGAGTCAATAACATATATATTTATTTATAAATGTAAATATACAATATGCTTTATATATACTTTATTAACCCATATGTGTCTGGACAGAATTTATCCAGTTACTCATCTGGTAAAAAACTGGTACAACTCTTATCCCCCTATTTTAAAAGTATTTTTGGTGAAATTGTGGCTATGGTGAAACTTATAATTTGTAGATGGACAGAGTAATCTGACTATTGGACTATTTGAGATGTCAAAAATGGGTAAACTGAAATTTTTTAAATAGGCTCAATCTGTTGTAATGTTGTCTGTTCGTTACCTCAGATTTTCTATTCTCTAATTCCTATTATATATCAAATGCAAAATCTATACTGAAATGACAGAATCGGAGAAATATATTAAACATACACTGTAGCATGTGCGATTCTACCTATCAGCTGTCAAGGGAATGATGAGTCAATTTCAAGTGTATGTGTAACGTATATTTCCAGATATTCATTCTCCCAGGGTTGGGTTTAAAAATCTAATCCAACACATGATCACATATGTTTTATAAAGCAAGTGCCTGGTTATGAAGTTTATAACCTGGATATTGAAAGTGACTAGATAAATGGAAAAATAGATTTCGAAGCTGGAACATATTAATATTAGGGGTCAGAATGTTAAACGAAACTGCGGGGCTCCGACCATCATTGGCCTTGACAGCCGAACCAAACTGAAAATTTTGAAACTGCCTGACCTCTAATCAATATATCTGAACCAAAGATATTGGTGTGTATGGCTTTTTGGGGTTTAATTATCCCAAATCCAATGACCATACAGAAATTCTAAAGTAAAATTATAGGTTTGAATGTCAAATATATCCTTCTACAAATATGTCAAGAGGATATAAAGGTGGAATGTGAATCACTTAAACTTCCTGTATAATAAGACCCTGAGGGTTTAGATGTATAACATCACCTGAGCCTGCCCTACCTTACTTTGAAACATGTGTATATTTGGAAAATATCTTAACAAAAACAAGTAAGTACACATAAGCATGTAAGCACAATAAAACATTTAAGCAAATGTATCAAGGGAAAAGAACAGATATAAAAGAACATTCAAGGGTGATACTGGCAAATCCCAAACGATAAGCTAACATACAGGGTGTTCCAAAAATATTGGACCCCAAAAAGTCACTTAATCCTTGCACAAAAGAATGTACAACTGATATCTGAAATATTTCCATGTTGACTTCTAGATAGTCTTAGCATTCAGGCTTTCTATCACAAATCCCAAAAAATGAACAAAATTGGTTAGATTTTCTCAAAGTTATGACAATCATTTCGGTCCAATTTTTGGAACACCCTGTAATATGTTTTACAGTGTCTAGTTACAAAGGTTACATGCTGAGATGCCTGGTTTTTCCCTGGTTACATCTCCCTGATGGAGACCACTCTGGAAGATGAGCTTACCCTGGGAGGACATGTTCCACAGGTGTTCTGATTTAATTAATAATCAGGAACATGTCCTTTAATAAGAGCTGTCATGTGTTTTAATACCACGCCATAGTGAGTGGCACTGACGTGCAATTAGGGGTCATTTAAAAACATGAGTATATAAACATGTACATATCATATGACCTTTAATGACGTGTGACCTGGTTTTGACCAATCATACAATTGCAGGATTGGCAGATTGATATAAAAATACATATTGAATTCATTCTCAGCAAACTTGATTTTAACATTATTCGGGATATAACTAGCAGATCCAGAAGCTAAGAAGGGAGGGCCCAAATTTTGAAAATTTAAGGCCTATTTTTGATAATTTGGCCTAAAAATGGCTCCAAAAGGCCAAGTAATGCCCAAAAAGGCCTACTAATTAAGGCCATACAAAATCTTTGGATCCACCAGTGGGGAGAGCCGTGAAGGCTGTTGTACCTGGGAAGGGTTGAACATCAAGTTTTGCACTAAATATCTTTTGAAATAATAAACTTAACCAATACTTTAATTGAGCTTCATACAAGTATATATTTTTTTATTTTTGTCAATGTTTGGATTTGTTATAACCTTCAAAATATAGGCAAATAAGCTTGTACTTGTAACACACATATACTAAATAAATGGCAGCAAAATAGGAGCAGAATTTACTATCTAATATATAAGACAATAACTTTAGTAATCAAACTAAGAAGTCATAAAAACATTTTAAGATCAACAAAACAAAACCCTACAAACAGAACATGGCCTCAATATAAGCCAGTTCATTAGCTGATGCAGTCATAGGCATAAAATTGATGTCCTCCAAACACCAAATGACATAAAACACAGCCAAGAAGAAAACATAAATTCGAGGTGGTAAATGAACCTAGAAGTCCAATAATACTGAACTGAAAGGGTTATTGGCATTTAGACCTAAATCACTCAATTGGGAAAATCATTTTTGGAATCTGGTAGTTCACTGAGCAGAGTCAATGTTCTCAAAATGATTCACTAGCACTTAGTGATTAATATTGATATGCGATCTAGATTTAGATTTTAGATTGGGATTAAAGATTACTATAAAGTATAAAATAACAGAACCATTAGATTGATCATCAATGGTTCTTGAAATCTAGAACTATCAGATTTATCATCAATGGTTCTTGAAATCTAGAACCATCAGATTGATCATCAATGGTTCTTGAAATCTAGAACCATCAGACTGATCATCAATGGTTCTTGAAATCTAGAACCATCAGATTGATCATCAATGGTTCTTGAAATCTAGAACCATCAGATTGATCATCATTGGTTCTTGAAATCTAGAACCATCAGATTGATCATCAATGGTTCTTGAAATCTAGAACCATCAGATTGATCATCAATGGTTCTTGAAATCTAGAACCATCAGATTGATCATCAATGGTTCTTGAAATCTAGAACCATCAGATTGATCATCAATGGTTCTTGAAATCCAGATTTTAAAAGACAATGCTTCAAAAGAAACAGAATTTCATAATGACAACCGTTTTGCTTTGAGAGAGTAGAATGAGGGATAAACTAACTGTCAAACATTGTTGGCAATGGAAATTCTGTAATCTATTATTGTCACAATGGAAATCATGATGTCATAGGAATAGAAAAAAAGATCTAGAAATTCTTCAAACTCCAATGCAGTGTCTTGGAATGGACACTGCGTCGGGCAGATGAAGAAAATCACCAAAATTTGGTGAAAATAGTTCCCCTTTTCACACAACTTGTAAAATATGTATTCATTTATGTTCCCCAATCATTATTTTATCAAAATATCTCAAAATTAATGAAATATGAGAAGAAATCCCCGCGAAAGGAATTCTGAGTAAAAGATATGTTAAGAATAGTTTACTGTTCGGAAATTCTTAAGATTGCAAATTTTGATATTCTTATGCACAGTATGTGTCATTACTGTTGAAATCATGACATCATATACAGATCTAGAAATTCTTAACATTGTCAATTTTGATATTCTGTCAAAAAACTATTCTAGGTTACATTACATTCAAGACATTTCTAATATGTGTTCTTAACAGAGGTAGACACATGTGGGTAAAGATCAGAGATGTGGAAAAATTGCTATAATGAAGCAGTTTAAACCTGGTCTCTAGAAAGTATATCAACATGCAATATAGTGTAAGACCGAGTGCAGCATCCTAGAAGAAATAAGGCATTAACATGCAAAATGTCACCACCTGCCATTTATTACATACATGGACCATTGACAATCAATCACTGACTGCCAACCACTGAACAACATCCACAAAAAGTTTGAGACTATAACAAAATGTCAACACTTCTGGTGGTGACATAAAAATGTGAGATTATTCTATATAGATTTCAGTAGTGGAGACATTTATCGTGCTGGACAAATAATGGGATAATGAGAACACAAGGATGGAGGAAATCTCATTTATCACATGGTAAAACCGTCCCATAAATATGGTAGTCAATTTTCAAATTGCTGATTAGTTATCCTATACTAATAGGCAAACTATTTACATATATTTCATTAAAAAGATGTTTATATTTTAATATACTTCCATTAAAAACCTTCATGAATATATGTTGAATAAACATATAAAATAACAAGTTATTACAGAGACACCTCTCACTGTGAAAATTGATAGCAAGTCCACATTACATTCACCTAATAAATATGTTTGATTTGGTTGTTTTGTTTTATCCCCCATTGGGAAATTCTGAAGTCTGCACTACAAGAAATAATAATTACGGATACGTGTTTGCTTTATTGAATATTTTAATCCCATATGAAAATAATCGCATGTTTTTGGTTTTCAATTCCAGACAAAACACCTCTTCTTTTTATTAATCTCTTTGGATCGATTTAGACTGGGGACCATCTCACATGTTTAATAGTAAATTCTACATGTAATTGCTTTTGTTTAGTGGGTGGGTGTTGCTGGGGTAGTACAAAGCTGTTTGATTAACTGGTTAATGAAAACACAGAATTAAATCCTGCATTTAGGGCTGATGTGAAAAGTCAGTCCAACCTATTGGAAATTGAACCCACAATCCCTCACTTTCAGGGACTTTTCTACATCCACAATTCACATTTTCAAAAGGTCTTTTATTTATCCATGGATGGGTGTGTATCTTGCAGCTAACATAACAGTTTACCTTTGTCGGTTTCTTTATATAAAGTATGCATCCTAGCCTGACCAAAACAACTACTGCCACCTATATATCCATATATAAAAAGTGTAACGACCCTTGATAACAAGTTGCTACTACGGCCCAGCTGTAGTGGCTTAAGCCTTTATAGCTCAGTTGGTAGAGAATCAGACTTCGGTGTCAGAAGGGTCCTACATGTAGGTTCGATTCCCATGCGGGGCATTGAATTTAGCACACTTTCTTTCAGTTTCTTTATCTGGCTTGTTACACTATGCTCGTTAGTTAGTTAGTTATTCCCCTGGAGCGCCCTCGGGTCATTACAAAAGCAAGTCCTTTCCGAACTCCCGTGCAGTGATATATCACTGCGGCGGGCAGGTATCTCACCGTAAGCATGGTAACATCGTAATAAACAACTGACGTGATTGGTTCTAGTCCCATGCTCAGGTCGCGTGATTGTAAAATGTAGACAATTTCATTGGTTGAATTGCGCGTATTAAGTAATAAACAACACGTGCGGTAAACTTTTATCAACACAACTTTTACTCAGAATTCCTTCCGCGGTGATTTCTTCTCATATTTCAATAATTTTGGAATATTTTGACAAAATAATGTTTGGGGAACATTCATGAATACATATTTTATAAGTTGTGTGAAAATTGACCACATATGTGATGAAAAGGGGGACTATTTTCCCCAAATTTTGGGGATTTGCTTCACCTGCCCGCCGCAGTGTCTATACCGAGACACTGCATAGGAGTTCGAGTCCTTTCTTGTAAGAACTATTGCAATGTAAAATTGTGAAACTCGAGACAACCCCATCGTGCTTATTAACTCAAATTCCAATGTTTGAACAAAATATTATCACAGAATATATAGACTCCATAACGGATTAAACTAGATTTTTTCAATGAATTTAATGAATGGTGTATTATATAAAACAATCAAATCTCCAATCTACAGAAACTCAGCTTAATTTGATAGAATTTTACGGTATTTTGTCATAAGGCATGGAAAGAATTTGATGCGGGGCAAGACCTTACAACATTCTACCAATTCCTATCCTATTCGTGCTATGCCTTAATGACATTTTATAATGCTGATAATCATTTACAAATTCTTTTTCTTTTGCGCATATGCAGATTTAGAAGCTTGGATTCATAATCAACAGACGTGACATACCGTGGTACTATGACATATCATGGTTCAACAAATTAATGTTCTTTTGTGATCTCTCGTTAATTTTTCTTACACCTTCAATATTTTTAACAGTAGGGGATAAATATCATGGTTTTAGTTTTCCAAGAATCTTGAAATTCAGAAAGCAATAATAAAATGTATTATGTGTATTGTAAACATTATAATAATAATAATAGTCACTACTTTTTTCAATATAAAATAAGAGCTTCCAAGAACTAAAAGGAACGCTAAAGTAGCCACTATGTCCCCTTTTGTTCGATTTTAATCAGAATTCCATCAGAACTTTGCAATAAAGTTATTTAGAGACTTAAAATAATTTAATTTATATAAGAGTCCTAATTTTAAACTATTAAACTCATAAATGATTTCCTTGGCCTACTCGCCTATAATGGTCTCTATTTCCCTCCCCCCTCTCTATCTGTGTTCTGTTGGAGATGGTGGTTCACAACTCAACCCCCCTTGAATACATGTATATCCCCAACCCTTCACATTGCCCCTTGGATGTTCCAGGCTCTTACCTCTCTATAATTTCTCACCCCTGCTTCACGGAATGTTGGTTTACATCGGAAATTAATCTGAAAGAAGAAATGTCAAGATTATTCCATGTTATTGGAATATCACACATAATGCTAAACAATTATTTTTTACTTCAGCCTTATGACCTCAAATCAAATAACTCAGAAGCGAGTAGGTAGTTACCAGTTTCACCACCAGGTGGGGTGGATAATTTGGGTCAGATAGCATGGCGGGTATAGTAGAAAGTTCCCTTAAACTTAAATTACATCTGTTTTAGTGGTTCAATTTTCATGTCCAGTAAAAGAAAATGTTATCTGTCCAATACAAGGAAAGATATTTCACTTTCTTTGATTTTATAACATGGGGTCTATGGGGAATCTCCCTGAACTAGAAGTCACATTTTCAAAAAAAAATTTCAAAGTTGATAATTAATTATGAAACTATATTTCTATGTGTACTTTTATATGTAGTCTTCAAATATGACATCACTTTGACTGAAATTTGAATATTTTATGACGTAAATCAAGATTTTTTCTACTCGCATCTAGTCTATTGATCCAAGATTCCCAGGTAGTGTCATTGATATTATGCCTGAATTTAATTACTTCTTGATTTACAAAATAATCAGTAAAATATTATTTTAGTTATAGAAAAGTAATCAAACAGATAAGGCCAAATTTCTCAAATTGCAAATAAATTATACGAATTAAGGATTAGATGCACAATTGATGTGACCACGTAGATGTTAAAATGCAAAGTGATAATGGCGTAACAATCTATCCAAAAATAAAAAATAAATGATGTGTCAAGCATTCAATTTGTCGATATTTTGGCACATTATGAAATGTATTGCATTAGCAGCGTTCAAAAAACAAGGATGACACGGACTGATGGACGAATTGATGGACAGAACACAGAAGAAATGAGTGGGCGATTCATGGCTTACCATTTTAGCCAAAAATCAATGACCCTCTGAATAAAATATAAGAGTGTTGAAGTGATACCTCTGAAAAGAGAGAGAGAGAGAGGTATATCATAGGCCTCAGTGTTCTCAATGAATTTTTTCTCAAATGTGTATAAATTTTTCACCTTTTAAATTCAGACCATAATTGGTCAAAATATGTCTAATTTTCATGATATTCATTTTCAAGTTGGTGCAAATTGATTTTTAGGTAGGTGCAATTCTCTTTTTAAAATCTCAAGTAGGTCCAACACCCATTCTGATTCATAAGTAGTGACAAAACAGGCTGTGGAACCTACAATCTACATCACCTACTTGCTTAACCTCTAGACTACCTGGAGTAACGAGATTTCTTGTCACCTCAGAAATGACCATGAAACCCAGGGTGACGAGAAAATCCATCACAAAACCTTTCACTTAAATTGCTCTTATTTTAACAACTTTCATCCAATTTACTCAAAAATGTTTTAAAATGTTTAAAAATCATCTCTGCTGTCTACTTTTACTAATTTGAGCATCTAAAGTTGTACAGGTATGTAGTAAAATATCAAAAGGTGGCAAATATGAAAAGTTCCCTGGTTTAACCGATTTTAGAGCCTGGGATTCAAGGGGTTAAATAAGTAAACAAACTTGCCCTGCTATTTTGTTGTTTCGGTTGCTATAACAACCACAACTCTGGCAAATCAAATAGAAGACGCTTCAAATTCACAGGATAAAGGTAAAAAGGTTTGGGCTACAAACTCTGAAAATTTCATCAAGATTGGTGCAATATTAAGAAAGTAGTCCTCCAGATAACTGCAAAGTTCTGATCAAATCTGATCAGCTCTGGAAAACTCGTTAGTGTTTAAGTTGACAGATTATTTAGATAAGATGTAAGTTATGGGTTTGTCTTCTTGGTTTTAGTCTAGAGTGAATTCACTGTCCTCCACTCATAGACAGATTGCAGTCTGATTCAATGTATTTTTAAAGGCAAATATCTGGTGTTCTTTGAAGTATTCAAGACTAAATAAGATGTTACTAGTATACAATACATGTACTATACTACCCAGAGACAGATATAATATTTACTCCAGTTTCAAGTTTAATATTCTAAAATGGAATATGGAGTACCAAATTTCATTTGGTATAATTCTATTTTTTGATAGAGACAATGGCCATTGTTAAAACCAAATAAACATGAGATTATTAATTTATAAGGGTAGTTAATACTTCATGCCTAGTTCACACTTCAAAACTAAGTTGAATTCAGATGTCATCTTGAAAATAGAATGAGCCTAAATGGATTACTGTCTCAAAGGGTATCAAGTCTAGATATGTGTTATAAGTAATTCACGACTTTGAAAATGTTTTGAATACTTTTGCGCGTGGGACTTCATGTTTATCCCTAAAAAATGGTTGTGATTTTATTTCCTAATGATACAAGATACTTTTATTTTTTAAAGACCAATTAAGACCAATGACCAATTTCTGCATCTTAAACTTTCATAAAATAAATTCCACAATGATCAAATTATGATACCTTTATTACTTTATGTAAGATGAGGTAATTTGAGTGTGGGGGAGGGTGGGGAAGTATTTTTGCATGAATTTAAAAAATGAACCATCCCCTCCCAGTCACAAAATCCTGGCTATTGTAAGCCAAATAACATGATGAAGGCAAATGAATATCAGTCAGTCAAGCTAGTTATCTATCTAGATCACAATGTGATATTATGCAGATAGAGCTTTATTTTATTTTATTGCCTAATGTATAGGAATTTGCAGGATATGAAGTTTAAGAATGGAAATGTCTACAGGGGCGTAGCCAGCTTTAAGTCAGTGCAGGGGGGGGGGTGCGATCGCCAAAAAATTCTATTTTCAGTCTGGGGATGCGATTGTGGCATAAAAAGCCAATTATTAAGATTTACTGTATCTTGAATTATTCAAAAATTTATGCAACTTCCTTCATAATAAATTGAGCTAGAAGCTTCAAATAAAAAGCATTCCAAAGCTCTTTTCTTCTAATGGTTATATTTTATTGGTTATGGGAGGGGGGGTGCGATCGCCAATTGCACCCCCCCCCCCCATGGCTATGCCTATGGTCTAATTGAAATGTAAAAACTCTGCATTGAACTACACGTATTAAAAGTTGCTTTCACATTCAAATAGCTGATACAGATATTCTATCTACTAGTATACTCATATGAACAGAGATATAGAATTTCAAACTGAAACATTAAGATAATCTGTTCTGTCATTGAAACCATATTTATGGCCAGCTAAATTTCTGAGAATTTAATGTGTTTCAGTCGTTTACTCCTGGACTAAAAGTTACAATATCTTTCACCTTATTTATTGGACACCCTGTACATACCCTTTCTAAATGATGTACACAGCCAGTGTGTACTAAGATTTTACATGCTGCACATTTCTTCCTGGAACCTGTTCTCTGCAAAATATAAAAAAAAATATTAAAAATGCAAGATTTAAAATGTTATTCATTCATATGTAAAATGTCTCGTGAGCATGCCTCATACCCCAGGACTTTCTCCAACATTTTTCCATTTTACAACTTTTTGAAAGGAGGAGAGAAGTTAGCGCAACAGATTTTGGACAGTCATATGTTTGATTTTGGCCATTTCCTGGGGATTTAAACAGGTGCAAATGTTAGGCGAATCCATTACCTCCAGGAAAATCACTTCTAGAGATGATAAAATAATTTCGACTTTGAGACAGGGTAGATGCAAACAACCCACCCACATGTTTTTTCTGAAATGTTTTCCTGATTTTCAACCCCTTCCATCCTTGCTTTTTTAATTTTTCTTGCATCAATATGTTGCGTTTTGACACACAGTTAATCCCTTAAAAGGAATAAATGATTCCTTTTAGATAAAGTGGAAAACAATATTTCCCATGTTATTTTCCCATGGGAAAAATCATTGCTTTCAGCTAAGTTTGGTCACCCATAATGGGTATCTTTAAAACCCCTTAAGGAATCACTTATTCCTTTAAAGTGGTTAACTATGTGTCAAAATGCAACATATTGATGCAAGAAAAATTAAAAAAGCGGGGATGGAAGGGGTCGAAAATTAGGAAAACATTTCAGAAAAAACATGTGGGTGGGTTGTTTGCATCTACCCTGTCTCAAAGTCGAAATTATTTTATCATCTCTAAAAGTGATTTTCCTGGAGGTAATGCATTGGCCTAACATATGCAATTGTTTAAATCCTCTGAAAATGGCCAAAATCAAACATATGACTGTCCAAAATCTGTTGCTCTAATTTCCCTCCTCCTTTTCCAACTTTTTGTCAGTAAATAAATCAGCTTAATAGTTATTATACTACACTCTGAATAAAACAAAAATACAGTAAAACTGGACTCATCTAACTAATGGCCCTTGGATTGGCCAAAAGTGTTTGTATTAGCAGGTGTTCACATTTTAAGGTTTTATAAATATGTAAGTCAATGGGAGTTAACAAATTTGGGATCAAGAACAAATGTTCAGATTGAGAGGTGTTTGGATTAGACAGGTATCCTGATGTACAGGTTTCACTGTATACCGTTTGGTGCTTTTTAAAAATGATGGCTTTTCAATGATATCTTGAATACGGCTTGATCAAAGGATTATTACATCAAAGAGTGCAGGGCTCTCTAAAGAGTCGCAAAATCTATAGAAAAGGTATATTTCAATCATTTTATTACAAAATTACATAGCACACACCAGAACACATTCTTCAGTTATAGCTGATCTGGTATCCATGGTGATATAATCCAGAGCTAATCTGGAGCTATTATATAAATTACATCATAGGCTCTTGAAAGGTACTGGAACGATTTAACCTGAGTTTGTTATTTGACTTCAATAATAACATTTAAATGGATTAATAGTATAATAACGTCATCTCGAAGGGCAATATAGTGAAATAGACCGAGGGCCGACCGAGGGCCTAAGGCCCAAGGTCCAATATTACACTATATTGCCTGCAGAAATGACGTTATTAACAGGCTGAAATAGCAAGAAAATTTTACGCACTGAACGATATCTAATTTCCCGGGGAAATTTGCCAGTCTTTAATACATTACTGACCGACAATATGGCCCGCCACTATAACATCACATACTGCTCGGGTTGATATAGTAAAATAAATGCCTTCTAAACTAGCACTAATATACACCTAGAAGGAGGCCCGGTAAGGTGGTAATAATGACATTTACTGAACCCGATCTGTGTTGTATGTTACTTGTGTGTTATAAAATTGCCTTTTCTTTGAAGTTATAACTTTATTGCATACTGTTTGGTCCAGGAATTTTACAAATATGAGGATTTTATAACTGGTTAAATCTGTGTTAACCAGACCTTGATTTTTATCTTTGAAATGAAACTGCCTTAAATGGATTACAGTGGAACAAATGGATGTCAAACGCTATACAGATATCAACAAGAACAAACTTAAAACTTTTAAGAAAATTTGAAATTAAAAATACAATTTTGTGAAAGAACAGGCAGATGAGTGTGTGGGTGACACATGTGGGAGAAAAAGTAAGCAGATTATATAAGGTTGACAAATTCATCATTCGTAACCTTACAGTTATAGCTAATACTAACTACACACAGTTACTTTTATTCAAGAATCTTTATACTTACGACACAGTCTGTTTCACCCACGTAACATGTATCACCTGATGCATTCGTATCTGTCCATATATGGTCACCGTTTACTGCATTATCCTAGAAAACAAGCACCAAAATATCATTAGATCTATAGAAAATAAAATCATTAAAAATTGTTTTATTGATAATGCATCACATGTAGTATATTTAGGGATGTGGCAGTTTCTCGATATTGTGCCATGATGCTGGTCTTTTGTCTCGCGACAGGACAGGACAACCCAAGTATACCTAAGATTTCAGTCCTTGTACCAGATGTCCCGAACATGGCCTTAAATCTACTCAAATGCACGCTTAATATGATCTTAAACATATGATTTTATGAGAAAATGCATGTCATACTTCCCCTGCCCCCTTTGATGGTCTATTACTCCACAAATCTGAGGCCTGAGTGCCCACAAATCAGCGACGCCAATTTGTCAAATCAAAGTTAATATTAATGGACAATCAAACTTTTCAATGAAAACTTATTGCATGGGTTTAAAAGAAAAGTAAATAATGCTTATTCTCAAATAATGGTAGTATCAAACACATTAATCTTGATTAATCAAAGTCTTAATACTTGGAAAGACTATTTAATCAAAACCATTAATATGATATTTAGGATAGCAGATCAACAAATAACGTTCTATAGTCACTAAATTCTCGTTGGTGTATCCAACTCTAAAAATAGCACATCGTGTCTCAAAATAACAATGATCAATCGCAATTATCATAATTGAGGAAAAATTCATTCGATCTATTTCAACGTCATTGTTAATCAAGACATTTGCGTTCGGTATAATTTTTTGTCATAGCACTTACATGAAAAACAAACTAAATGATGTTCGGTTATTTTTGAATCCTAGTATTGATTTTAGAGCTCATTCATAAATAGTCTCCTCATAATCCCATTGACCTCAAATGCACTCTTGATTTTTGTTGTTAATTGTGACAGCATTACAGAATTAGTTGCAAATTGATCACATTTTCGAGTAATTTTCAGTAGCATATCACTAATTTAGATTTCCTGTTTTTTATTTTTGTCTGATATTAGCTTCTCATTTGACCATTTCTTTCTATTTTTAGATCCAAACAGGATTTTCTTATTATGATACCAGAATCAATTCTATTCGAAGAATTCTATGGAATATTTTTTCCTAGATATTGATCTTATTTTTGAGAAAGGGTGATAATTAATTATCATAGCTACTCATTTGTGGAGCTTTTGATGATTCTAGAAACATTTGTCATATTTCAATTAATAAAAGATTTTGACAATTTATTCTAAAGAAATTTTCAAAACTGGTCAAAACAACACATGATAAAAAATCTCAATATAACTAGACTACGCACAGGCTTGTACAAGGGAACAGTACTTGGGAAACCACTGTTATACCTACCCCGAGGCCATCACTACTGTAGTATATTACCCTCTAACTAGGACCAATCAGTTTTGTAGATATATATCAAGCCTGCGGACCAAGGGGATGCAAGCAAACTCCCCCTGGGAAAATTATCGACTCCATCAAAACCAAACAGTTTTCCACTATTTTGAGCATTTTTCAAGTGATTTGGGCCAAAATGGTCAAGTGTGAACCTCCTAGAATTTTTCAACCCCCCCTCGCTAGGGAAAAGCTGGCTTCAGGCCTGTATATGTAGAGATCCTTCTTAACTGCGCTCTGATTTTCAAAACTTTTTTTTCACAGTGCCAATAAAGAACCTAGCATAAACACAAAGTACATCGTGATAAATATTGCACTTTTTGTATCAGAAAATTCAAAATGGCCACCAGGTAATTCATTTTAACCCACCATACCTAAACCACAGACAGATCTTGACACTGTAGTCTGCTCTTGCATCTGCAAAAATCTCAAGTTGAACAGGTAAAAATGAGACCAATTGAATACAATTTTGGCTCTGATTCATCACTAGCTTGCCGAGTTCAGTATGTTGGTAATATGTAGAGTGTAGTATACTATTAAATTTTTGTAAAGGGTATGTAATTTTGTTATATACTTACACTCCAGTCAGTGGTTGTACAGAGGTCTTTAGAGGGGGAGGGGGTGTAACCATGTTCAGCGTGCCCGGGGTGGAGGAGGTTACTCGCACCATATGAATTCTTCGATATCGCTTTTCTGAAAAACACAAAAGTACAATTTTAGGTACAGTTTTTATCTAATACAGCTGCATTGACTAATATTGTAAAACATCATATGATGTGTTATCACTTGCATACCAGCTTGTGCTATTATAAGTTCACTTTAAAGAAACCCTTATGGCCTATGTTAGCAATATTCAGGCCCGTAGCCAGGGGGGTTCGCAGGGTTCGGGCGAACCCCCCCCCCTGGCCAAAAATTCTTTCAAAATCATGCAGTTTTTCACCATTTTGAGCACTTCTTAAGTGATTTTAGCCATATTTGGGCCAAAATTGTCTAATGTGAACTCCCTGGAAATTTTTGAAAACTTAACCCCCCTTGGCAAATTCTCATTAAACCCCTACAAAAGCTATTAAAGATGCATTTGAGCACAATGAGATTTTATAAGCACCAACATTTGAAAATCATCCGTAATACTCAGAGGGATGGTTAGCTGAGTTTATAGTACATTATTAAAATGGCTGATTCTTGAAAAGTGTTTTCGCAAAATTGAATCTTGATGTTCACTTTGAAATATAACACTGTACTTAATCCTAAAACACAGAAATTTCATTTAGACAAATATACCACATATTGATTCATTTCTATAATTACAATGTCATTTTATCTCTTAAATTTAAGGATAATACTACATGTGAAATCTGAAAAAAATTCTACTTGAAACATCTGTATCTTTCACTTGTAGTTGAAAAATCCCCTTATCAAGCAATTAAAAGATGATGTCCTTATTATGATTCCCTCCTTGAACCCCAATACCAACCATACCCCGTTCCTCCATGTTTTTTTTAAATTTAAATACTTTTGCATCAATCAATTTGGAATTTGGTAGACGAATAGAAAAAATAGATTTGCCTTCTTCATTTTAATGAAAATCACTAATCAAAGTCATTATCAACGAAATCATTTTTTTAATTTAAATTATAAATGAAATTAACTTTACTATTACGCATGCGACTGTTCAGATTAAGACACCATCCGTAACTAATACATTAAGCAGTATCTTCGATAAAAAAATGCCGCACTTGTTTATGGTTGAACAGAACTAATAATCTTCACAGATTTATCAAATAATCAAACAAATCTAAGCCCATCAGAAAAATGTTAGAAAAGATATGACGATAAAACAAGGCATTGATTGGTAGATTTTCTATGAAAGGATGTTGACAACTTAGAGACTAAAATAACTTTCAGAAGAAAAACAACTCAGCAAATATCGTGAAAGATTTTAGATAGCTCGATATCATGTCATTTTCTATTAAATATGACTGAAGCTGAAGATAAAGAATACAATTTAGTATCTGAGAATGAGTTGCTAGCTCCGTCTTATTCAGTCGCAAGCCTGTCATTAATCTGTCGGGAAAATTACACATGACTTAAATGTAGCAATCACAATAATTACTTAAGTTCTATCTTGTCCAATTTCAACTATATTATCAAGTAAACACATCTGCAAATCACAGGAAAAGTTCACTGGTTTTTAATCTTTAATTATTCTCTCAAAAAATGTGAATCAAATCCCTTAAAACCATCATGGTGGTTATCATGGGTTTCTAATTTCTAGCAAAGAAGCGTGAAACTATACTGGTCATAGTATAAAACACAACAAGGCATTAACATGCAAAATATCACTGCCTGCCATTTGTTACACACACTGACTGCCAAATGCCATTTGTTACAGATGCCGACTGCCAAACACCAACTGCCAAACACTGTCCACAAAAGACATATAACAACATGTCAACTCAGTGGTGGTGACTTAAAAATATACTGGTCAAAGTATATAATACAGAAATAGAGTGGAAAAGAGTAGAACTGGCAAATAACAAATTGAACAAACTGGAAAATAACACCTTAGATTATATACAACAAAAAGGAACAAGAAATCGAGTTAGTTCATTCAATTTTAGAGAGAATCACATGGAATTAGCAAGACTTGCTGTCATTCACCAGTACCCATGGTACTATACTTCTACTTAATTTGGCGTTATTTATTTTGGCAGATTTGCTGTTTTGAACCTTTGGCAGCTGGGTAATTTGGTAGACTTGCGATAATACAATGTAATAATGGTACTAATTAATACATGATACTAAAATTACTGGGGAATATGGCAGCAATAATTTGACGGAATTTAACGATTTGACGGAACTGCCAAATGAAAATGGCCGCCAAATTACGTAGGAATACAGTAACCATGCTTTGTATCATTATGCAATCAATCATAGGTGCTCAATAACAGTAAGCCATGTAGTAGATTTCCTTTCTGTATGTTTTTCAAACAGATTTACACAGATTCTATGCAAATGTGGTTAAACTCGCCCTGGGGAGTATATCAGATTGATCACATGTGATATTTCAAAGTAGTTACAAAAGAAGAAGAAGTCAGGTTTGTTAAATAGCATTTTCAACCAGGTTTTCATCATAGTGTGGATATTTAGGTTAAACCTTAGGTTATCCTTAAAAACTGTCCATTCATACATGATAATACCTCACAGAAATTATATATGGTACATGTTTTACCTAATATATTGGCATATTGAAGGATATCACCACAATATACTCCGAAAAACCAATATGCTGAAGATATTGTGACGATATACTCAGCTCGTTAATTTTTTGTGAAAATTATTTTTCAATGGTATTATACATTTAGTACACTTAGGATAATAATTTATAAGTATAATAGGGAGTTTAAACTTACAAATAAAATCAAAACGCCAACCTATATGAATGACCAATCGCCCATATAAATACATCGTTTAAATATTTTCCATTCGCGTTTAGGTTTTGAAAAAACATTGCAAGCTGAAACTCCCTAATATTTGTTCCCTTCGCTCTCTCGTGCCGAAATCAATATAACATCATCGATAAAATGATATTACTCAAAATCAAAGGATATCCTATGAATATATGATTTTTAAACACAATAAGGGCATGGGGAGTATCCATGAAATTGCAGTATCCATGAAATTGCAGTATCCATATACATGTAATAGTTCTATGCTAAACTCTAATAACACCAACATTCAACAATTGTAAAAAAGATGATGCCTATCAATCCATTGGATTTAACACTTGAATAGACCAAGTATAGTTCATCAGCATGAAAATATGCTTTATATTATCAGTAAGACAACCTAAGGGTACCATTATTATATCATTAGACCCAAAGCTCACATAGATCATAATCTATGATAGATTAACAATTGACTTTTTGACCTCCAAGGTACATCTCATCCACTCGATCACAGACAGGTTAATTCAGTGGAAAATCATGGCCTTTTGCTATAAGCTCTATTCTGATACTCAGATAAGCTCTGCCTTACTAAGTACTAATGAGGGACTGCAAGAGCCACAATCTCTCCCAAATCTACAAGTACAAGTTTACCTCTCAGAAATCTACAAGTTTACCTCTCAGAAATCTACAAGTTTACATCTCAGAAATCTACAAGTTTACATCTCAGAAATGTACACATTTACCTCTCACAAATCTACATGTTTACCTAAATCTAAAAGTTTACCTCTCACAACTCATAAATCTACAAGTTTACCTCTCACAATCTACAACTTTACCTTTCGCAAATCTACAAGTTTACCTCTCACAACTCACAAGATGACCTTCATAAATCTACAAGTTCACCTTTCACAAATCTACAAGTTTACCTTCATAAATCTACAAGTTTACCTTTCACAAATCTATAAGTTTACCTTCATAAATCTACAAGTTTACCTTTCACAAATCTATAAGTTTACCTTCATAAATCTACAAGTTTACCTCTCACAACTCACAAGATGACCTTCATAAATCTACAAGTTCACCTTTCACAAATCTACAAGTTTACCTTCATAAATCTACAAGTTTACCTTTCACAAATCTATAAGTTTACCTTCATAAATCTACAAGTTTACCTTTCACAAATCTACAAGTTTACCTTCATAAATCTACAAGTTTACCTTTCACAAATCTATAAGTTTACCTTCATAAATCTACAAGTTTACCTTTCACAAATCTATAAGTTTACCTTCATAAATCTACAAGTTTACCTCTCACAACTCACAAGATGACCTTCATAAATCTACAAGTTCACCTTTCACAAATCTACAAGTTTACCTTCATAAATCTACAAGTTTACCTTTCACAAATCTATAAGTTTACCTTCATAAATCTACAAGTTTACCTTTCACAAATCTACAAGTTCACCTTTCAAAAATCTACAAGTTTACCTCTCTCAACTCACAAATCTACAAGTTTACCTTCATAAATCTACAAGTTTACCTTTCACAAATCTACAAGTTTACCTTCATAAATCTACAAGTTTACCTTTAACAAATCTACAAGTTTACCTCTCACAATTCACAAATCTACAAGTTTACCTTCATAAATCTACAAGTTTACCTTTAACAAATCTACAAGTTTACCTCTCACAACTCACAAATCTACAGGTTTACCTTCATAAATCTAAAAGTTAACCTCTCACAAATCTACAAGTTTACATCTAGAGTAAGATGGCTCTGGGACTGCTCGCCATAGCTTTTCTTGAATGAACAATATCAGTCATTGACCTTAGATCACGTACATACACTCTGATGTGAAGTCATCCAAATTTTACAAGGTTAACATTTCCAATCGCAAAAGAAGTATTCTATCCAATTTCAAAAAAGTGCACAATCGACACTCTTTGAGTTACAATTATGAGATAATTGTTTGATCTATCCTTGCCTAATCAAAAAATATAGTCTATCATAATTGAGCTACTCTATCAAAATAAAAGTTTTTCACCATTCTGAGCACTTTTTAAGTGATTTTGGCCATTTTTGGACCAAAATTGTCACAAGTGAACCCCCTGGAATTTTTCAAAAAGTGAACCCCCCCTTGGCAAATCCTGGCTACGGGCCTGAGCTGTTACCATCAAAGTTACTACCGAAGTCACCATGACTTAATGATACTGACAGCTACTGGCACCCACATGAAAATTGATAT